TTATTATTATTATTATTATTATTATTATTTGGAAAGATAAATAAAGATTCTTCTTATATTAATGGTTAAATCGTGTATATAGTGTTGTGAGAACAAACTGGTTTGCTTTTCAATTTACAGATGTTTTACAACATGAAGAATATAAGGTGCAAAGGCATCTTTTCTTTAAAATAAAATCCAAGAATTGTCTCGCATCATTTTTTATCAAGCTTTAGATGCTGAAGGTGCTTCAGAATTGTAACTGCATTATTTGCTTCTGTGGATGGGTATGAAGAAATGCTATGCATCGACTTAGAAATCAATAAAAGAGAATCCAATAGCTTCTTAGGACCTCTTTATGTTTCATTTTCAGCAATTTGTATGTTGTGCATAAGCCATTAATGGAAAAAGACTTGCTCAGGAATGGCAATAGAACTGATCATGCATTAGGAGCATAAGCCTTTTGCAAAGTTATAAAATACAGTTTTAACATCTTTGAGTCAATATATTTTAATGCTTTAAATATAAATAGATGCACCAGGAAGACTCCTGGGGATATCAAGAAAGCTATTAAGTATATATCAAACTCCCTTTTGTTTCATATACAGTACAGTAGGTGTCCTGAGATTTTTCTGCATGATTCACACCAACAAAATTGGATCAATCACCATGGTGAATGTTTGAGGACAATTTCCACCTTTTATTGAAAGTGTAAAACTATTCAATTATTTCATATTATTCTTTGTAGCCATGTAGATTTGTAATATAATAATTTGTATAATAAAAAGTATCATAAGTGTTTTTTTATTCATAAGGTATTTAATAAAAATAGCGGCCTATCACGGAAACGGTACCTGTGTCTGAATTAAAAAGAGCTCTTTTTTGTCCCCTCCACATTTTAAAACACAGACAACACACATTTAGGTATAGTTTCCCAAAGGAAAAGAAGGAACAGCTTCAATAGAATATTTAGAAATTTGCTATAAGCGATAAGTGACACAGCAGAACTGCAGCTCTTTGTTCTGTCTTCACACTGTTTAATACGTATTGAAATAACCGTCACTGGGTATAGCAGATTTTCATGTTCATCAGCTTCATTTTATTGCATATAATATAAATCTTGGAAAATGATATAAACACATTATTAACATCCCTTTTGTTAAAAAATGACAAGCAACATGTTTTTGTAATCTTTCCACAGCAGGAGTTAAGTGTTCAGGTGCAGTTCTTTATAGAATCCTTATCATTCAATTTGAATTTCTTTTGTTTTGAAGTGGAGCAATAATGGAATATGCCAACACCTCGAAATATGTATCATAAAATGTTGCGGACATCCGCACAGCAGAACAAAAGAAAATATTTAAGTCTGGGCCAAATCAGAAAAAAATATATAATATATTTCTAAATGCTTTCCTTATTTATTGATTGTAATTGGACTCTACCTATTTACAAACAACTAAAGAGGCCTGACAAACCAAATGATGATTTAGAGGTATTTTTAAATATTGCAGGATACCGAAAGGAATATAAATATGAAAGATTAAGCAGAATGTTAATATAACCTAAATAATTTAATTGCTATTTTAAAATAATTAACACATGTTGAAATGTTTTTACAAAAGATATCTCTAGCGCTCCTGCCTTGACCCATTGACGGCTGTATTTGACTGTACCTCAGCTAGACCCTTGCTTTAGTCTACAAAACTTGTAAAAGTTGTAAGAGTTCTCTGAACAAGCAACAGCGGCATACAAACAGATCATAAGATTTGATAAAGTTCTTCATAAAAGATTAATTCTCAAATTACATAGAGTCAAAGTAACAATCTATTTAATTCTCAAAGTAAGTACTTAATCAATATACTGTAAGTACTTTGATTATGAATTGGCTAATGGACTGGAAACAAAGGGTACAGAAAAGAAGTAAATGCTAAAAATGTACCCAAGGGCACTTTATTCAGACAACTGTTCTTCCTAATTTATATACTGTAGTATCAATGGTATAGATTGCGAACTTTTCATGTTTGTAAAATTATATTTAGCTATTAGGGTTAAAACTCTTACAAGCTCCTAGAGGGTTAAATCTAAAAAAATAAATCCTAGAACTTCCAGATTCAGGACTGAGCAAACCCATGTCAGGTGATATTTAATTTACAGTAAATAGGTGCAGGTAGTAAAAACAAATGACAAATAGAAGGCAGGAAACACTAGGATTGAATAAGCTATTTATGAGAATGTTTAAATCACTTTTAACTTGTAGGCAATGTTGAGAAGCAATAAAAAGGCAGACAAAGTTAGGCTATATAGTTAAAAGCATAGAATTGATATTAAGGGACTTTGTTTTAACATTGTGTACAAATTTGATCTCAAAGGTACAAGATAATACTGTTTCTCTGCAGTTCAGAAAAGAGAAACAGGGTGCATTCCTGGACTCAAAGGAAATGTCTTACACTGACAGGCTAAAAAGATTTGAACATCCTCTGTCTTGAATAAAAAGGACTGTAAGAGGACCAGACTCAAGTATTCGTAATATCCAAAGGTATTGAGAAAGTCAACCACACAGACGGTAAAGATGATACAAGTGAAAACTGTGTTGAAGTACAAAAGGCACTTCTTTATACCAGAGGAAGTGGGGAAGTATAAACAAGCTGCCCAGTTGTGGTTCTGATGCTGATACAAATGCTTCCTTCAAAAGATGGTTGGAAACTAGGAAACTCAACAATTGCATTGTCTAACAAGCAAATTCTTGTTTTATAGGAACATATGCAGTCAATTATCACCATATAACTAGTAAACAACCGTGGCTAAACAAAGAGTTCTCCTCATGACATAAACTGCTGTTCTTTTTATCAGCTATGAATATTTAATTATCCCCTTGCACATATTAATATCAATGTGCTTTAGAGCATGTTGTTTCTTTTCTTAAAAGAGAACAGCACCACAAGAAATTCCTGAAACAGGCAAGTGAAATGTGAAGAGATAGTTGTGACTGGTAAACACAGCATTTTTTCCATGGTCGTACAGTATATGAAGTCATTTTAACTCTTAACACTAAAGTACACGTAAACTACAGAGGATGTTATAATTCTGCAATTAAAAAGAAGGTCTGTTATCCATCTATCTGTTGTTTAACCTCTTTATCCAATTAAGTGTTTCAGGGAATCAGACTCGATCCTGGCAAGCAATGGGCACAAGGCAGGATACAGACTGAACAGGACACCAGTCCATTGTGGGCACACTCAGAAACAAATAGACACACACTCATGCCAGGGCCAATGTTCCCAGAAGCCGATAAACCTACCAGTATGTCTTCGGATAGTAGGAGAAAACCAGAGGAAATCCACACAAAGACAGAGAGAATGTATAAACTCTAAGCAGATAGCATCCCGGGTCCAGACTTGAACCCAGGATCCCAGTGTTGTGAGGCAGCAATGCTAGCCAATGAAACATTGTGTCACCCAACGTTTATTATGTGATTTTAAACTTTTGATTAGAAATATCACAATATATTTAAAGTTACTAGAAACAGCATATTATTTTTATCTAAGAGAAAAATACAGCATCAGAAAATAGTCTGTTTAATCTCGGTCTGAGTATATGGTATATATTTTACAAATATGTCTGCTAGCAAATACCATCTTCTACAATATTTTGGGGAAAGATAGTATACACATAGAAACATAAATACTCACACACAACCTCTACTGAGTACCCAAAGTGACATGATGAATGCTGCAAAACAAAGAGAGACTGCTGAAGAAAACATTACTTTTTGTCATACTGTACTTTGGAACCATCCTGGAACAATGAACACTCTCCCAGATGAGTAATTCTCTGAAATAAAACAAATTCTTGGCAGAAACCTAAAATATCTCACATAAGATGTGTTACTATTTTGTTGGAATTTACATTTATCCTGTGAAGAATCAAATAAATGCAAATCTGGAAAATGAAGATTTACTATCTTTTCATTCTGTTTGCTGTCCCATGTGAACAAAAGATAAAAGTAAATTAGACACACCTTGAATAAAGAATAAAAAAAAAACATTTTTTGTGTTTCACCTTCTGCTGTTTACAAGTAAAAATGAAATTGGACAACTGGTCTTACTAGAGATGAGTTTCAAACAAAGCTGAATAATTAATTTGCAGAGTGATTTGAATTTGCTGTTAAAAATTATTTCAGACAAAGTCTGCTAGAAACCTCAGCTTTTTTTATTGTACAGGGAAGCATGAGCAAATGGGGGTAAAAGTGGCTTCAAGCGAACCTCGATTCATGGTACATATTTCATATTAAAAAAGCAATCACGCGTTTGAGAGAAATAAACTGACAGCCATGGACAAATCCATATTCAAACACAGACATGTGCAAAAAGACTGCATTAAGAAGATTTTCAACTACACCAAATGTGAGAAAATGAGGTCAAGGGAACAGATTATACTTTAGAAAGATAATAAGGAACAATGATAAAATATTTTTGTAGATTGGCAAAAAGAAGAAAAGTTATCTTGGCACATAAGGTAATGGTGTTAATTAGACTGCCGATTTGGAGGCTGGTGTCCATACACTGGTATACTGTATGTTAAATTCTTAAAACTTCTCACCTTCCATAGTTATTCAGAGCTTTACAATTTTGTACAAATTGAGCTATCACAGTGTTTGTCTCGCTCTCTCTTTCTTCTGTTTCTTAAAGACTTGATTTTTATGATAAAACAGTTAGAATTATTCTTTCACGTCCTGGACATAACAATCAGGCAATTTAAACAAGCAGCAGCTTAATTACTCATTACGGATCAGCCTTTTATGATTCTTCCACGAACCTTCTAACGACTGGAATTTTGTAGGAATTTTGGATGGTTTTTTTCTGTGCATATTAATTCTGTTCTAGTGAAAAAAATATATTGGAATATAGAAAAAGTGTCCTTGCTGTATATTTACTATTTTTCAGCGGCATCAGATGATGCATGAGAGAGTTATCACAATAGAAATGTATGCTCCGAAGAAATGTGAACTGAACTTTCAAGGTGAGTGTCTCCTCAAAATGACCTTGTTGTTTTTATTTTCTCATTGGGTGACACTTTTATTTCCTTGGTTGTGTGATCAGTCCTGGTATGAAGGAAGCTATAATTTAAACTATATTCAAAATATTTTATTAACCCCATTTTTGTGCTCACTCTGCTTACATGTTTTTAAGGAATATATGCTGGGTTTTGCCAGCTCCTACTAAAATGTTAAAAAAATGAAACTGACACCATTTTTGCCCAGTATCAATCTATCATTGAAAGACAATTCTCCAACAGTCCCTTCAATGTGGTTCGGGCTTCTCAGAAAAAAAAAAGGTGCTAAGTCTTTATAACCCTTTCCTTTTTTAATCACACACACATCCAATCTCAGAATCCATTCAGACAGAAGGGTTTTCGTAAGGCGCATCAGAATGTCTGTTTTTCGATGTCATGTTTGGCACTTATGAGTGCTGTACCTGCAGATCGGACATGGTTATGTTTTAAAGGTCTGTTGTACAGTATTTCCTTTAAAACCTGGAGCTGATTCCAGTCAGGGTTTCTTCATGTTCTTTCCAAATTTGTCACTAAGCTGTTGGATGAGATCTGCGAGTTCACCAGTGGCTTGGGATTTTTCCTCCAGCAGCTCATAGCGAAGGCTTGAGATATCCTGCTTTATCTCCTTCAGCTCACCTGCAATACAACAACATATTCTGTGGTGGCAGGAACACTTCACTTTTATTTCACACTTCACTTTTATTTCAGACTTTTTATTCAGACAGACATCTCACATTGCTGTCACAGATTTTGAATGTGTTTTTTTTTACTATATATTAACTTTAGATTTTAATGCATTCATGTATTAGTGTATTTCATGTGCATTTATGTATTTAGTAAATATACAAGACAGAAATTACTACTTTTGTTTTCTCCTTGTGTCTAATAGGCAGAATTATTACAGGTAAGCATTTAACTGAATGATCAATTCCACTAAATTAGATTTAACTGTATGGATTCATGAAAAAAAAACAAAGCTATACTGATTGGTTCTCATTATCAAACAAGAAATTACATTAATTTTCTTACAATAATATAACAACAGCTGTAGGCAGAAGGGATTTTCTCAAGATTCATAGAGTACCCGGAATAAAATGACAGCGTTTCATATAATCGAAACATAAGCCAAAGACAAATTTGTATTTCAAGCATGCACGTGTTCAGCTTTAAATATGCCCCTGAGATAAAGTCATGTAAATGCAAATTTTACATAGAACTAATGGGATGATTTTACCTTCATTGACTTCGTCATTCTCTCTATCAACCTGAGCCTTCAGAACATAACGCTTAATGAGCCGCTTCATTATTTTCTGCCAAGGAGGATATAAGTTAGATGCACCAAGATAGACAGACCATTTGAAGGAAAACAGCATTACATGGCTGGAGTCTAACCTCACGCCATCTTGAACAAGACACACACTTTGACAATCCATTCTCTTCTGCTCTTCCCTAGTCTGTGCTTGTAAAACTTAAAAGCTTTTAAAGGCAGTAAGTAAAATCTAATGTCAAAAATGTTTTCTTCAAGGGATTAAGCTGACACTCCCAGCATGATGCTTTCTCTAGACAAAATACAGTTTTTGCAGCAAATACTACCTACAGTACATTATTTCTTTATAGTACATTCAAAGCAGTGAAGTGCAAAGCTGTGTTAACTCATCGATATAATTATTAGTAGTTTTAGCATCATATAAATTTTGTTTCCAAGGGCCAAAAAGTACATGTATAGAAGTACATGTATAAAATATTCCGGTATACAGTCAAAATATGGATGACAGATTCACTCCTGCATTCATTCCAGAATTACTCACCTGATACCTGGTTGGGTTTTTAATAGGCTTTTTCACACCAAAGCTATCCAATGTCCTTGAGCTTGATTTGTATCGATCTGGCTGATATATGATAAAAAATAAAAACAGTTGCTGAAAAATTGTATTATTGCCTTTAAAAAGAACAAGGAAAATGAAATACCTAGTGTTTTCTTAAATTACCATACTGTAGCTACATTATACACTTAGGGTACATACAGTAAACTACCAGAGTGAAGTTTGTACAAGGTATCCCTGAGGGATTCCTCACTCTACATTTTAACTTTTTAAAATAAAGTTTTTGAATTGTAATCTCAAGAACATACAAATATTTTTTTAAGTAACATCTTTATCATTAGAATGAAAGCCTAATCGAGCTACAGAACTACAAGGACATCATCCTAGATTATACTGTAGGTACCAATCCATTGCAGAGTTAACTTTGACAACCTGTTGCCCTGGACAGCATGTATTCAGACTGAGGTAGGAAAGCGCAGTATACCTAGACAAACAAGGGGGGGACCATGCAAATAGCAGAGAGCCAGATTTGAACCTAGAAACTGCAGTATTTCCCACAATTACTTACACTTATATAGCACTTTTCTGGACACACCACTCAAAACGTTTTACAGGTAATGGGGACTCCCCTCCACCACTACCAATATGCAGCACTCACCTGGATTATGCAATGGCAGCTATAGTGCGCCACTACACTACACCACACATCAGCTTTCAGTGAGGAGGAGAACAGAGTGATGAAGCTAATTCATAAATGGGAATTATTAGGACGCCATATTTGGGGTAACACCCCTACTCTTTCTGAGGAATGCCCTGGGATTTTGTTATGACCATTGAGAGCCAGGACCTCAGTTTTACGTCTCATCCGAAGGATTGCACAATTTTGCAGTATAGTGTCCCCGTCACTATAATGGGGCGTTAGGACCCACGAAGACTGCAGGGTGAGCGCCCCCTTCTGGCCCCACTAACACCACTTCCAGCAGCAACCTTAGGAGGTCTCCTATGCAGGTACTGACCAGGCACACACCTCTGTAGCTTCAATGGGTTGCCATTTGTGAGTTGCAGGGTGATATAGCTGCTGGCATTACAGTCTGCTGCATTCTTACCTTTGGTTTGGAGTTGAGCATTCCCATTTCCACATCACTGTCAGACTTCTTGGCTTTAGCCTTACAGAGACGGATGAGGCAGGACTTGGTGTGGAGAATGAGATAGTAGAATGATTTTGGACTGGGCACTAGGTTAAAAGGGGCAGGCAAAGTCCTTCCCTCATCAAAGTATGATAGCCAAAGTTTTGCACGAGCAAACTTCCATTCCACATCGGCATCTTCCTGTGAACAGGGGAAACTGTAACCAGCTTCTATTTCTAAGCAAAAAGACAGCCTTCTGGACAGGGAGCTACAAGATTACTTGTGGAAACCCCTGTAATAACTTAATTTAGGACAGTGTGGGACCACAAAGCTTATAACAATACATACTGTTTAATGGTGCAGACAGTGTTTATGAAAACCAAATGCATGAAAAAATTAATTATAATTCATACAATTTTCATACAGTCTATACAAAGAATCTGTAATTACAAATTGATTGACAGTTGCTTTTACTGCAAAATAAATCATTCAACAGCATGATTCATTCAGAATAGCTCAGGCCCCAGGTAGAAAATTACTGTTCCTAGCAATTATTTACTTCCAAGTTGCAGAGTTGGAGCAAAATCTCTACTGAAAGAAAGCATTAGACACAAACCTATATTTTGCAATTCCCTTTCATCCCACAAAAATCATAGCTTAAGTGCAGTTTATTCTTGATTTAATCAAAAGACAATAGGAAAGCAGTTTACTGTATATGTCAATTCAATAAGAAACTTAATATTTAGAAGCAGTACGCTTGGTATCTGTCTCACCTCAATCTCCTGGTAGGAATTATTGATCATGGCAATCAACATGTTGAGGAGCACCACCACCATAGTAACATTGTAGACACCATAAAGAACATAGCCTATGTTCTCTATGAATTTGTGGTCATACTTAAGAACTACAGAGATCACCTCAGACAAACCGAAGATGGACCAGAAAAGAGTCTTAAAGCTTTCTTCGACACTGCAAATAAAACAAAAAATCAGATGAAAAATAAGTTGTGAAAAGCCACAAGAAAATGAATTCTATTCTTTTTATGGCTGCTACCTAAAAAAGTTAAATTGCAACATTTGTTTGAAATTAAAGCACACAATGAGTTAATGATAATGACGGAACAATTGCACTGTTTGAAAATCCTGATCATATACTGTACGTACATTCTTCATAGAATAATGTTTTCAAGCCAATCTGAACACTAAATTTACATTTAAGGTTTTATGCTTGGGCTGACTTTGAAAAAAAGTAACGGATCTTATTACAGACTTAAGCTCCTTATCATTTGGTTAGTTCCTGTATCTGGCCTTTATGTGAGATTCATACACATATACATGAGCTTATATACGCAGGCAATTTTTCAGGAATTTAAAAACTTAAACTACTAAGTTCTAATAACTTGTCGTCATCATCATCATTGTTAATTTCTATGATATACAGTATAATTATACAGGATTTAATTACAAGGAAGCACTTCATTTGTATTAGAAGTACCAAATGTTATGTTGTATTAGAGTTTTAAACAAATTGAACGAATAGATCTAATACTAAAAATACAACTAATAAACCACTCTTTAAATGTTTTACCATGAGAAAGTATGTGTAAATTTGATTTTTAATCATTAGCTAACTGTAATCATCTGCCTTCTTAACATTCACAGGCACTTAAAAAGTGCTCAGGGTAAGGCTGCCATCTTTTCCCCCACATTTTTTAGATGTTATTCTCTTACAGTGTTGTTTAACAAACATTGAATGACAATTAAGACTTTTTTTTATAGGAATAACAATAACTATAACTATAATAACAAAAATAGTTTAGGTTATACTAAGTGTGTGTACTTATATGCAGACAGATCTGAGGTCCTGATGTATTTCTGTGTTGTTCATGAGATGAAATGTGCAGAATAGAAACAAAAACATCAAGACTTGGATTAGGGAAGGAAACTGGCTATAATGATAATTAAAGATATTGGCTATAACAGCTTTAAAGCCTTGCATTGGAATAGTCATTAGCAGTGGTGTAGGTCATTGCAGGTCATTTTTCTATCGTCAAAACAAAATACAAACTAAATCCAAAATTATTATGCTTAAATCGGCACACAAAACTATTCCCTTTTAGGTTTTATTTAACAACACAATATTTTGACACTAGCAGGGCATCATTTTTGGCCTGGTGATCAAAATCGTGTTTTGTTTGCGCATCATCAAGAAAGTTTTAAGTGTTCTTGGTTTAGGCACTGTCACGGTTAAGGAATATATGTTCAGCAATTTCTTTCCAAATTGGGCCTGTCACACACAAAGTACTGAAGCCAAAACCCCTGAGAGTAGATTATGACTCACCTCTTTTGTTCCAGATTTTGAAATGAGCAAACTAAATTATATCTGTACTGCCTAAAAGGCGAGAAAAGACTCATCTTTTTATTTCATACACCGGTATTGGCCAATCTATAAAATATTAAAACATTGAATTTTTCAGTACCTCTACAGGGTTCCATCATAGGGATTTTATTTTAAATGTTAATCTCCAATTTAATGTCTGCACTGCACTATTGCTCCTAACCAATAACATTGTACATCAGCCATTTAAAATATAGGAGTAATTATGGTCCCCTAAAAGTACTTTTGACCCATTCAAGTTAAAATTAGAAACAAGTAAAAATGATACTTATCCCTATAGAATCACTGTTACCACGTTGTTAACAATACTGCACTAACAATTATTCATTATTATACCAACACAGGGTATTTCAAATGGGTTCAGTCACAGGAGGAGAAGCCGATTGCAATAATGATTTGAATAATTTATAAACCAATTTCTTTGTAAGTTCTCTATTTGGGATTTTCCACCAATAATACTGCTCGTATCTTTGTATAGCCACAGACATGTTAATTGATACAGTAAATCACCATTGTTTTTGTTTTATTTGATCTTTCTTCGTATTTAAAATTTATAATTTTTAGTCATTATTCTATGTTACTATCAACAAATTGCAAATTCCTGAGTCTTCTCTCAAGAGGAGAATCAAGAATATTGCATAGACATCAAGATAAAATCCAACATGCACGATTCATGTTCAATCTATGTTCATTCCAATTTCATTTCTCAATACAAAAAATCTCTTATTACCAAACTTTATACCAGCCGAAAATCCTTGGAAATAAGATCCAGTTTTTGTTAAACTCAATTATTCAAAGCACATAACCTTCATATCCAGATTAGGTAGGGGAGATTCCATAATCATATCACATATTGCTCATTCTCCTTGTACTAACAATATCTGATTAAAAACAAACAGATATAATTAATTATTAATCTAATTTTAGAGATTTCTTATATCCCTAAAACATTCCCTTATTATATCTCTCAATATTGCTCAAAGGATTTTCATTTGCATTCAAAGATTTGCACTCACTTTTAAATTACACTGCTCTTCCTATGAAATATTTCTTTCTCATAATAAAGGATCTAAGTGCCAATTCATAGCTAAGAGCTTCTGTCACAGCCTATATACAATAGATACAAGTTATGGAGATAGATGATGCAATGAGAAAACAATATTATGCAGAAAACATCAATTTTTACAAATTCCCAGGAACTGATGATACAAAGGATCAGAAGCATTAATTGATTTTTTTTCTCATCATGTATCATTAATCAGAGTCCTCAGCTATATATTCCCATTGGATATTAAGAAGAATTCTAAATTCTTAAACTATTGTAATAAGTTTCCTAGGTCCACACAAGACAGGACTAGAGACTGTCTTGTTGCCTGTCTTCTGGTTTTCATAATGATCAATGTCTTAATTCTCTAATTGAACCAAATATTTCTTAGTTGATATTATTTTTGTCTGTTGACACCTATAAACTCTGCACAACTGCAGAATGTGAGATCCAGGAATAGCCATCCCTGTCTTAGACTGTCACGCAATGCTGGGTTTCACTCCACCTTCCCTGAAGAGCTAATTATTTGCTGCAATCTGTTCAAATATTGCCAAGCTATATCTCGCTTTTGATAAGAAGCCAGCATAAGTGAGAACTGAGAATTGATTTATGATTGTATATTTTTATGAATAAATTAAAATATTTGTTACATTTTGAGGCAATTGACACCCATCTTTTTTCTCAATGTTATTTTTAGTTCACAGCTAAAAAAATATGTAATCAACAAAATCAGGAGCACAAATGCTTGCAGATTGTCAAACTTCAAGTACTACACTGTCCTCTACTGGAAGTACCGTGAAAACACTACAGATTGTCAAAGTGTTTCTAATCCATTTTTTCTCTGTAAATAAAATATCCCACTAATGTAGATGAGCACTTAAATAATCATTTTAAATTTACTATTCACCAATTAACATCCTTAAGAACTCACTAAGCACTAAGGCATCTTAGGAGTGTGTGCCAGATGTAAAGGGAAACCACAATTAGGCTCCCTGCCAGGGAAACATTTCCTGGCTCTTGACATTGCTTCAGCAGTTGAAATAAATGCATGGATACATATGTCTCCACAAGATGAATCAAAGACAAAATTAGAGCTGACAAAAACACTCATACATTTCAGGAATAGTCAGCTTCTCTGTCTAATTCTGGAATTAAAATATGTACATTATTCCCTCCAATTTAAAATCATGTATTGCCAATCAATGTAAATCAACATTTTAACACTTATAGTCCTCAGGTTTTACTTGTTTTTAGGCTCTGCAATAACCACATTAATATATTTTAGCCTAAAATTGCATTCTCTAACATAATCACAGTGTGTTAATTTTTCAATTGACTTTTAAAAGTTTCATGTTCTACTGTTTTGGGTGAGAGTATGCATAAACTGCAATAAAGCTGCTATAAAAGGCATTATGGATTCTAAGGTTTCTGTGGTTTTCAAAGGCAATAGACTTGATGAATATATGGCTTCTGATGCATTTTACAACAGGTTCTACTGGAGAGATAATTAAGAGATTCCTAAATAATTACCCATGCTATATGTTAACATTTACCGTACTTCATCAAATTCATTAAAACAAGATTATCAAAAAGAGGCATTTATAATAAGGTAGGTAAAAAAGGGTTGGTCATTTTAAATACTATATTAAAACCAAAGGCATTGTCTTAAACTACCGCTTTCCTGCATCAAGACCTGTTCTTAACCAAAAGCCTCCCAGCTCTTATCGTGAAGAGTAGGTCAAGCTAACTCACGTTGTGAAGGCAGGATTGTATTTTGCACCCAGGTAGTAGGAGTACAGATTAAACATTCCGATCATGAAGGCCACAAACACCATAATGAAGATGACCATGAATTTGAAGATGTCCTTCACTGTCCGGCCAAGAGAGATCTGCAGGGGGCCAAAGCTCTCATTCGCTGGCAGGATATAAGCTATTCTGGAGAAGCTAAGGACTACTGCGATGGCATACAGCCCCTCTGATATGATCTGTGGGTCTGAAGGAAGCCACTTGTTCCTCGCTGAAAGAAAGAGAAAGGACACTTTAAGGTGGAAGAAAAGGTAAATTATATGCTACATCCAATGGAAAAACATACAAAACAAAACTAAATACAAACTAAAGCACACACCATAGATTTTATTTTGCTTTGGCACTAAAGCTTTAGCATAAGTGACGAATGATATGCTTCCAAAGGTAAAACATGTTAATAATCACTTCTGTTTACAAAACAAATGGAGTAAGAATAATTCCTTTAAAAATAGTTTTTATCACAAATGGGAACAAGAAGTAGACATGAATATAGAATGAAATATAAAAATTACAAATACTGTACAGAAATGAGACAGCTCATTGGTGTTGCTTTGAAGAACATATACAGCAAACTGAACAAAATCTCTTTTTCATTTTTCATCTGCAACAGATCAAAGTATCTTGTTTGTTGGTTTCCATCAATACCATGTAGAGTTAGCACCTAAGAGTATAGAGCTCATCTAAAAGCTTTCATAAATATGTCTCCTAGACATTACATCACTAAATCTATCTGGGTTACTGATTTAGGATGAGTCACTCACATCAACATGTAATGAGAGTGGAAACCTCTTCCTCATGAACAATAAGGTGCTCTACAAGAACATATAGCACAATAAATCTTATTTCAAAGGTTCAAGATCTCATCATCTAGTTTTGATTGAAATTTACTCCACAAATTCTTAAGGACTGAGGGAAAGCAGGACATTACATTCTCCTTGTATTTATTTTAAACAGGACTAAGCATGTGTCATGGAAAATCCTAAATAGGAAAAAAACACACAATATTGTGTAAGCTAACCCCAAAGTACTAAAAAGGTCCCAGTTCATTCATACGTCCATTTTCTAAGAGAGCCAGAGCCTATCCTGGTAAGCAACAGGTACAAGGCAGCATACACCCTGGGTGGGATGCAAGTCCATCGAAGGGCAGAAAGACACCAAGCACAAACAAGTAAAATGTTTATTCCATGCTGAAAAGAGAAGAAAGGAAACAACGTTTTGGCTGTGGAATCTTCTTCAGTTAGACCCTCGAAGAATGCTCCACAGCCAAAACGTTGTGTTTCCTTTCTTCTCTTTTCAGCATAGAATAACCCTTTACTTGTTCCTTTGCAGCCCACGCAGGCTGACGCAGCTACCTACAGTACATGAACGACAAGAACAAACATGATCACACTCACACAAGACCCTCAAGACATTTCCCTCAAGACAAGCTATTCATATGTTTTTGGACTGTGGGAGAAAACTGGAACACCCAGAGGAAACCCACATAAACATGTGGAGAACATACAAACCCCATGCAGATAACACCCCAGGTCCAGAATTGAATCCCGGGCCCCAGTACTGCATGGCAGCAATGCTAACCACTGTGCCAGTGTGCAGCCCAGGTCACTGTTTAGTCATTTTTTAATGTTGAATGTTTATGACACATGAAATGTTTTCTAGATTACTTTGTCTAAGGGCAGTGAAGCTCCAAATGCTACCTGGAATGTAGTGGACTGTGAAAAGATGACAATTTTAATTGGCCTCCAAGGTACTGTGTATTGTGTCCTATGCACTGTTCTGAAAAGCTGAAATGATGCCTTAAAGCTGTGCACCCTAAATAAGTCCAAGCTCCCAAACCAGATGTTAATAGCCAAAAATAGGCAATGAAGAATTAAGTTTTACAGTTGCTTTTCCTAATTCAGGCAACCCAAAATAATTAATAGTGAAGCAACTACTACTTCGAGTTTTCTACTTATTTGCAGAATACATCCATCATTCCCTAGATCTCATATTTCAATGTCATACATTGTATGTTGTAAAAATAATTACTACTAGTCCAGAGTCTGAATTGCTAAGAAGTTCTTTTGAAGTTGATGAATAACGGTTTCATGCACACTTTTGGAAATTGAAATGAAATCATTGTGCTTTCCAGCAAATCTATGATAGATTAAAACCTAACTGAAAAAAAAAAAAAAACATTAACAAAAACATTTACTAGGAGTAAGTAGCTTAAGAGCTACTGTATATTACTAGCAGACACTTTTGTGGGTTTGCCTTTGTCATAGATATATTTGCCCCACTGTAATGTTTGGTGTTAAGATCCATCTGGGTCTCACACTGTCTTAAGTATGGAAAAGACTATCATAACACTAACTGAAGTAAAAGTTTATTCATATTTACAACCTTATCTATATCTCTGCCAAAACCCTAACTCTTGTCTTTTATAGGGTTGTGGTATCAACCCTATAAATCAATACAGAACTGACGTTTGAGTGACAAATGTGACTCAAAGCAAGAACCCAAAATAGAGTAGGTCAGTTGTGAAGATGGAGACTAAAATCAATCTCTTAACTTCGGATTTTAAAACACAACCATAGCACAAAATGAACAAATTTCTACTTGGAGTTAAAAATTTTAGAAACCTTGGTTTTCTAAATCCAAGTTTTACATAAACCTGAAACTCCTGTTTTAATGCTGTTTTAATACTACTTCTCTTTCAAGTACTGTAAGTAGAATTGGTACATTAAAGACCAACACATTACTTCGGAGTAAAACATAGTGGTATTTATTTCTAGTTAACATTTTAATCCTTTAATTGAATTATTTATATAGCTTGAGTTATAATTTATTCTTACCTTAATTTTTTTTTAATTAACCAATATTTGAAGTAGATTTGGTAGTAGGCCTAAGTGTCAGTACCTCAAAGCGCCAAAGTTTGAAGCTAGCAATCCAAATAATACCCACTTTATTCTAGTGCTAACTTAATGCAAGGTTTATTGATATTTCTAACTTTAGCTTTAGATCCACCAGAACCCCAACTCCAGTGTTAATTACAGCCCAGTGTTATGTAGAATGAGAAAAAAGACTTTGCAACAAAAAAGCTCAATTTGGTGTTAAGGTGACATACTTATCTCAGATCTTGTCACAACCAACTTCATTTTGCAATAAAGATTCAGATAGCCTATAGATTTGGGGTAGTGGTAAGATGAAAATTCCATTTAGAGTAGAATAAACATTAAAGCAAAATTGAAAGAATTACAAAGTAATTGTTTTCTTTTTTATCTGCAATAAAATATAGTATAAATCAAATCTGTCATTTTTATTATAATATCTTGTATTTTTCTATTATGTTTGTTTTTATTAATATACCATTTTAATTAGATTCGGAACTTGCTTTTCATCTGAAGATTACCAGAAAATAAATTATTGTGCTGTGGCATATCAGCCACAAGATGGCGCCCTCTATAAAGTCTTACATTCTGGAGACAAAGCTCAGAGTTCTGAAAATACAGATACAGAATACAAGAAAAAAATATTAATAATGTTTCAGTTGCATATGTTATAAATTCCCTTCCTTCATCTGCACACATATATACATATGGAAACATCACAACTACCTTCACTATCAATATGCCAACTTTGTATATTTAGTAGTCTCTAATCAACAACAAAGAGAAAACACCAACAGTTTACAATAACAATCAATTTTTTTCCCCCCTAGACTGCTTTCTTGGACACAAATTGCAGCTAATAGATATTTTTCCACTCTCACCATTAATTTGTGCATAGCAGATGCTCCTCTGTTCATTTCAGTAAAATGGCCAACTACAGTAAAAGCTGGAGAATGTCTTATCCTTGCTATCTTGCATTAGAATATCTGTGATTTATTTCTGTTGGTGATGCAATTTTTAGTTTCAGAAGGGATTATGTCATATCAATGCTTCTACTTTTCCTTCTGGTAAACTCAATGCTATTTCGAGCTTTCTTTCACAGCAGCTAAGTAAGGCAGCCTGCATTCTGCATTTCCATGCTAAGCGTTATTGCATGTTAGATCTCAAGAGCACAGCAGAATGTGCTCCCCAGAACTAGATACTGATCTCTGACCAGCTCCAGTACTTTCAAGTACAGGCTATTGATTCAGCGTTACCATACCACAACACTTGTTTTAAAGCAAGCGTTACCTCTGCATACTGTACATGCTACCAGTGTGGCTCCCTGAAGCACATTTAAAATGCTGTTCTCAAAGTCAAGGAGTTTTTTTTTTAAGTTTTACTCATCTTACTGTAGTTTTGAAAAGGTACCACAGCAGGGCACACAGAAAGGATGGACTCACATTAAGTTGTTGCTAAGCAAGAGCAGAGCAAAACCTTTATCATAAGGTCTCCTGCCTAGTTAATTCCTCCTGGCCACCTTACCATAAGTGAAATACGCCACCTCAGCTGGCAAAGAGGCATTGCTGAGGTCGTTGTTGGGCACGTGAAGATCAACGTAAAGCTGTGCCTTCGAGGCCTTCAGGAAGGCCATCAGCCTGGCGGTGAACGAGGCCACAAAAATTGACAGCATCCCGAAATCCAAAACGTTCCACAGGTGCATGACATACTCTCGTGGTCCATCAGCCCAGATCTCCTTACACTCTGACCAGATCATCCCTGCAGGCATGAACAGATTCATAGACACAGGCGGGCATTAGTAATGGGAGAGGCAAATAGCGATTACGTTTCTGACAGAAAAATAAATGTCACGGGCTAACGAAAAGTTGCATTGAGCAGGTGGAACAAAATGTGACACGTTGCTTCTCGACATCAGTGACAAAATGCTATTGTTCTTTGACAAAGCGCACTCAAATGGCATAGTATTCTTAATCACACAGGAAATAAAATTCATTTAAATAAACAGAGTGCAGTGAAAAAAAAACTTGTACATAACATTACTGTTCTGCTTTTTTATTCTATCATCATCAGGCCAGGCCTCATCTTGATTAGCCTTGAAGGCGTGTGCATCCTTTTATAGATGGAATGCTAGTCCATCACGGAGATTATCTCCAGCAATGCCAGACCCCACTTATACAACTGGGCAGACTGGAACCATTGGCATACAGTACCTTATTCCAGAGTAGAGAGATTCCTCTTTCTGTAGCAGGGACTTAAATCCATAACATATCAGTTATGAATCCAGAGGCATACCCACTAAACTATACTGTCTCCAACTATATAGATACTATCACTGTTTAATTTGAACACACACAAATAAACATGCAAGAAAAAATACTTTATTACAGACAATTAAAAATTTTTGTCTTGTAATTTAAAGAACTTCCCTCTGTTGACATGTCAACAAATCACTAATTTTCAAGCTATGCTTAGTTATTGTTCATTTCATGTTGTGCGATGATTTTGTGCCTTTGTATTTTGAGTGATAAACATTTGCATCGTAAACAAGAAATGCGCAGGGGAAATTAAGAAATGAAGCCACTCTCAGTTTTCTCTTTGTCTCATGATAACTCAGAAAACATTGTCCATACATCATTTTCATTATCATCTCCTCCCTTAAACTCTTCACCATCTTCTGCAGCAGCACACCTGATATTCCCCATGATGATTCCTAGGGGATTCAGCTCAGGAATTTTTAGTGCTCCAGACACAAGTACAGTATCATTTATAGCTCTCATTCAGCCACTTGTTAGATATAGCCTCTGATTCAATTCAAAGCCAGTTATTACATGTCATGGTCAGAGCTGGAATTCTCTGAAATTGAGAAAATCACCCATACTGAAATGTGTTTCTAATCGGGCTCCCAGCTGCACAATAATCATCCCGGCTTCAAAGGACAGGATTTAGAATACGAATGAGATTATCTCTAGCCTTTTCACTGTCATTCAAAAAGGGCTTTACAGTCTTAACAAGAGTTTGAATGCCTTTAACTTATACTGATCAGTATGCTATGACATGAATGACCAAAATCGTGGACTAAATAACAGTTCTTATATATCACAAATTAAAAAAAACAGGGTAGTGCAGTGGTTAACACTGGGCTCAATTCTGGACCTGGGGCACCTGGGGAGTTTGTATGTTTTCCTTGTGTTCACATGGGTTTTCTGCAGGTTCTCCAGTTTCTTTTCATAGTCCAAAGACATAATGGTAGGTTAATTGCTGCTCAGAAACCTGGCTGTAGTGTGAGTGTACATGTTTGTGTGTGCCCTGTAACAGACTGGCATGTCGTCCAGGGTATATCTCATCTTGTGCCTTTTGCTTTCTGGAAAAAGCTCTGGCTCATCTTTGACCCTGAATTGGATGAGGTGTTTGAAAAGGAAAGGATGAAAAAGACAAAAAGCTCACATGCTATGGATGCGTCATTATCATAATAAGCACAGTTTGTAGTAATAAATATTGAACGTTTACCTCCTCAGTGGTAGCCAGCTTAAAATGGACACTTTTGTCATATTGTACATAATAACAGAGGTATGAAATCCATTACAAATTCATACTGTGCTGTTTGTGTGAGGCTACATCATATGGAACACCATGTTCAATGGCAGTATTCTGTCTTGTGAGCTCTGGAATAATGAACTTCTACACAGGTTACAAAAATGCCCACTTACCCAATACCCACTTCATGATCAACATCTCTGTCCAGGAGAACTGAGTGGTCTTCACTCTGAAAATCTGGCGAGGATGGTCAGTAATGGTCTCATTAGGTAGGTTCTTCACCCCTTCAAAACGGTCAGAAGCATTGATAACCAACAGGCCCAGGAAGATAGTGAAGGAAACTGCATGTGCAACAAACTTCATAAAGGGACTACGGAGGATCTGACCCAGCTGCAAGAAACAATTCATAGTGAAAAGTGTTAAATGAACTTTTTAATGCAACACTGTTGGGTTAATAAAAGGTTTCAAACACTATTGCTTTCAGTCTAGTTTCAAAATGTCAAATGTTAATGCTGTAAGTCAGCCATGGAATATAGACTTTCAAAACTCAGAGAGAAAACTCAGTACAAAACCTGACAATCAATTATCTGAAACAGATGAAGGCTTGCACTGAATCACTCTGATTTGAATCAGATTATTAGACAATAGGCAATTTAAATTCCTTTTGTGCAGTATTACTCTGCATGGTGAATATTTTAGTCCAGCTTGATTACCTCAGGAGTTTCACATCTAATTAGCTCCAAAATATTCTCTACAAGAAAAATGCAGTCAACCCAAAATAAAAAAAAAGAATCCAAAAAACTACTAAATGGTTGCTTTTGGGGAAAAAAAACTAACAAAACAATTCACAGAAATATGTAAGCTATCAGAACTCTTAATGTTCTCTTTAAATACAAAATAGCTTGGATTTCTTTTGAGGAAGAAACTGTATTCGTGCATTTACAGTAAGTATCAGTGACAGCAATAATGTAATCAAGTGTTTCTTACCCATTTATCAAGTTATAAGAAAAATATAATTACAAATAAATAAATATTTAAATAAAGAAAAATACCCCCAAAATAATTTAACCGTTTAAGAATTTAAAACAGGATGCAAACATACAACATGTTGTGGTGAATAAATATGGACTTTCCTTCCAAAATGTTACCTTTAGCCCTATCTTTCTCATTTTCTTACATTGTGTAATGCATCTTAAACTCAAATGCTGAGTATCCTCTTCCTTTTGGATTGTTAAAAAAACTTCTTAGAATTACAATAATGCCTTAATAGTAACATATTATGTTGTATAATGAATAACAAATATTTTAGAAAAGGAATTTTCTGGGTCTTCCAATAATGCTGCAATATGCTTTTGTTTGCTAATGAGCGGTGCAGTCATGCTACAAAAGGAGCAATCAGGGAACAAGTAATCAGGGAATAAACTGGCCACCATATTTTCATCAGACAAAAGAAAAAGGTAATTCTAATCTTAAATAACTGTAAAAGCATTAATGTGTTCCATTTGTAAATGCAATACTTCAAAGTTGATAAACCAGTCTTGACAAACAGAAGAAAGTGAGATTGATGGTACATGCCCAGGTAATAAAAATGAATGAGACCGTTAACTTTACTTTGGGCTTTTTAATTTCATGAATAATGACAGGCAACCGTTTTTCTTTTTTGCTCAAAGTTCATTTTTGTCACCCTATGATTTAACATTAGTGGCATGGCTTTGCTATGATGGGAATGCTGTGAAGGACAATTCAAGGTCAGCAAATTTTTCACTTTGCTCATCTCATACTCCTTTTTTACACTTATTCTTCACTATCTCCTATGGCACACCTCAAATTTCAGTTAGAAATGCTCAGATGCAGTTAACTTCAGGAAGAGCAAGAATTCCTTTATCGAATACCTGAGCGTGAAGTTGAGCTGAAATAAACCCAAAAGGCTGTAAAGTGTTTTAATTTAGCTGCATTTCTTATTTGTTTTGTCTTGGTTTCATTTATCTGAATGAATAATATTTCATAAGAAATGTTCCTAATAAGATAAATGTAATGCCCTTATTCTGGTGTGAGAAAACCTAGCAGAAGTGAATTTGTCATGAAAAAGAATTTGAAGCTTAGTCACAGAACACGGCCGAAGCATTTTTACAGCATCAATCAGGGAATCCTTTCCATTTGCTAAGTGTGCTATTCAGAAACTGTGTTTAATACCTGCATTTTAATTCTGGAAGCAAGGCAATATTTGGAGCTGTAATTAGGGAAGGCAATGAAGCATTTATCTAATTAATCCCACTGTCTTTCCATCCATTTTCTTCTGTAAGAAGACTTTGTTCTCATTGTTTCACTGGAGATGTCAAAGTACCATACAAGTAAAATTTAACTGTCTTTAATGAGGTGTAATTATAAAAACACACAGAACACTGAGTCTGGTAAGTTCGTCTAAAAATCTTGCTCGCAAAAAAAAAATTGATTTTTAAGACTGATTGAGAATAGAGTTGCCACCTGTTTAATAATTCTCTCAGGTTATCTTTCAGAAGGTCAAATTTGGCTAATTGTCTCCTGTAAAACATACCTGTAATTATATTATACAAATAATTTCCTTTATTGGATATCAACTAATTGTATCTAGTCTAAGGGAGAATATTTCCTCCTCCATCAGTTTCTACATTCCCTAACTCAGTAGTTATTTTTGTCAGTTGAAATGACACAGAAACGTTGACCTTCTACACTGGAACCGTTCTAGAATGACAATCACTAGGATAAATTTTAATTCAGAAGGACTTGCAATTCAATGGAGATCCACCTTGAAAGTGAAACAAAACACAACTTCTATTTTTTTGACACAAACATTAGTCACAGTTTTTGTGTAATAAAACTATGATGTAATAACATCACAGTTAACCGAAACAAAAACAGTGACGTCATGAGATTCCATTTCATTTGTCTCAAACATTTTAAATCCTTTCCTTTTTAGAATGTGTGTTGTTCTCCTTGACTCTGGAACCCAAGATGGTCTGAATACTATACCAATGCACATAATGTTGCAGACAGTTCCAAAAGCAACAGACCAATTCAGCATATCTAAAACAACTTTTTTAATCCCCTGTAAAACTTGACAACAAATATGAATTTTATCGACACACAAAGAGTAGAGCAACATGGAAATCTTAAAACAAATATGCTGAACATACAAGTCTTAAAATCACATCGAGGGGATCGAAATTTATGCCAATAAAATACCTGAGTTTGAAGTTTGTCTGAAAAATTATAAAAATAATTTGCCCTTTTTATATAACTAGATTCCTTTCCATAAATAATAAAAAGGAAAGATAAAAATAAATAGTGAGTCAGCAGGTAATATATGAAGGATTTGACTTCAATATCTTTTGAGGGCAAACAATGTTATGGCTCACCAACTCCTTCTGGAAAAAGGCCTCTTTCCTCCTTTGGATCAGATCAGGAGCAAACACCATGACAAACATATGTAACAAAGGGATTTTGATTTTGTAGATCTTCTTTTGGCATTTTTTCCCAAATCATTTTAAAATGACCCTTGGCAGTATTTATGAATAATAAAAAGAAACAATTTACTTTAGGCTATACAAGAGGTAAAGGTTTAAAGAAAATAAAGAAAACAAGATGAGTGAATTGGTTAAGTACCATGAATATATCTGAAAATGAAATATACCAAAACTATACAAAACTAAACAAATATATACCAAACTAATTCTAAGGACACCACATTTTGTTATAAAACACACCATTGATGAGGATGATGGTGAAATACAACTGAGAGAAAAGTCATAGGAAAGTATCAATTTATCCTGACCAAGGAGTTGCAAATGTAAACTCGTGTAGGATTTACAATGATAAAAGAATGAAACAGGTGTTCCTCCTTAACATTACCCCAAAGCCAAGCTAATAACCCTCATACCCCATATGAAAAAATATGTCCAGAGATAAAATCTCTTTACTGGGAACAAAGGTGCGAAGTTTGTATTTAATACTTTATAGACATCAACTTGGCTGGCTGAGGAAATTATATTGCTGGCTGAAGATCTGCACTGCCACAACCTCCCTCATTTATGAGGAAAGAACCAGACAGATGGTAGAAGTATAGCAGAAATGCAAGATTGGAATTGGACGTCCTCCTGAACTTTTGCTAAAAAACACCAATTACCCGCTGTATTTTGAAAAACTCAAATTTCCCGTCATCTGTGTTTTAATCTACAACTGAAGCAAGACAACAAGTGTAGAGAAAAACTGTGTTTAGAGTAATTTAGGACTCAGTCACAATTTGGTCAATATTACACCCAGGGTTCATTGTCAAAATAATGGTTCTGGAATATTTAAGGGCAAAGGGTAGTATCTGGTTCAACGTAACTATTGATGACAGAAAACTGGAAAGACATCTCATGTTGTCAATGTTGATTAAGCTACAAAAAATGTCCCATTTCATTGAAAACATTATAATTAGAATGGTAATTAGACCTGCAAAGAAAAAAGAACAACAGCATTTTCTTCCATGCATTTCTATTAATTTATGCAGCTATTGAGACAGGATGTAGAAATATGTTAATTTGTGTAATATGCATTTTTTGCATTCCTTTTTGTCAAACAACAAAAATGACAAGAATGGAATAATTTGCAAATTAGAAACTGAAAAACACTTTTAATTGCAGGCCAACCAGTGGCTCTTTATGGCTTGTTGACTGCTACCAGCAAGCTTTATCAGAAGAGTACCAGACAGGAACAATAACAAGAGCCATGAATGTACCCTAGACCTTCTATCATTAAGAAAGTAAGAAAACTGGTAGATTCTGCTTTAACAATGTGGGATTTTGATATTAGTGTTTGAAGTCATAATAATCAATTGACTATTTATGCACCTGAGGAGCCTGTACCTTGCTGCAGGGCATGATCCAGTAGGCAATGGCCAGAAATGGAAGGCCAATGGTGACTCCCAGGACTGTCAAGCACTTCACTCCTATTGACTGCTGACGCAGCCCAGACAGGTTCTCATACCAGATTGTGAGTAGCTGCTGCTGGCAGTTTGGATGGGCAACAAACTATAGCCAAAGAGAAAGAAAGCAAATCAGCGCAATACGTGCAGCTTTTAAATTTAGGATAGCAACTTACTGTAGCTTTCCCGCATGACCCTACTAATCTCTCTTCATGGATCATCCTTTTTCCATAAACATCTGCATGTAGAACCCAGCTTAAAGACAGAGGAAAATATTTATCCAGTTAAAAGTTTAGCAAATGCATAAATATCACAACCTTACTATTGTACAAATCCTGAAGCATGTGGTGCTAGTGGTGGCTGTCAGCTGAGCAATGTTTATATGTGGAGGAATTAATATCCCTCTTGGAAACACTTGGAAATCAACACTTTTAGCAAATATGTGATGCCAGAATCCTATGTAGGTGTTCCCACCTCATCACCCACCACAAACATACAGTTAATGAACATTTCAAACATTGTGGAATTGACATTAGTTTTAGATCATGTCAATATAAACATTAATGTTTCACACCCAACAGGAGTGGGGAAGATAAGAAGCTTATAATCTGAAAAACAAAACACACAGTTGTTCTATGTCTGGAAGCATTAACTGTCTCAGCTGAATTTTTGAATAGCTTCAGGGTTAAGCAAGGAAACAATAAGAAAACATTAAAATGTTCCCTGTGCTAGTGTTTTTGATAGTCTTTTGATTGGCATTTCTACTTTTTGATTCTTCATACAGTATAACCAAAGGAGTATTGATACAGAGCACATTTCTCTTTACAAGGATCTCTGAAGTACAAGGGCACTACAAGGACACTAAATCTGATAATGATTCAGGGCAGCTTCAGCATCAGCATCAGCATTGTTGTCATTCAGATGTCATACTTGATTGATCTAAAACACCCCAATGCCAAATGTATAACTTGTGCATGCCACCACAGTAGATTAATTCAACTGATGCACAGAAACCTATAAAGCAATTATTTGAGTGTTCTTCAAAACGCTTTCACTTCTGTGATAAAAATAACATGAGGTATGCACTATGTGTTTTAAACAACTCATTAAAGATTTCTAATTGAATGTACTGTAAGATCTTCTCAAATACCTCTGTATAGGCAACTGACCCGAAAAGGGACAGAATATGAATAATGTAACACTACAGGGTTCACATGGGTGCTCTCACCACAGCCACATCAGGTCAGCCCCCCACCATCAGGGACTCAAACCCGGGCCTCTGGCATCACTCAACAGGGACCCAGCCTCTTGAGCCAAAGGGAAACCTCCCTTCAGCCCAGTGGCTGCGGACCCCCGGTGATGTCGCCGCTCTGGTAAGCCAGCTCTCACAAGCAATGGAGGCCGCATGTATTACAATAAACAAGCTATACTTCTTGGGGAGAGGATTCAGCAGGTCACTAGTTGAACTAACACTAGTTGAAAAGGCAAGATTGCTGCCAACTAGCTAATAAAGGGTACTTTTCACAGAAACTATTTTCAAAAAATGTTTTTATTCAGACAGTGGCTGGGAAAGGCTTCATTTGCTTCTAGGGAGTCATTTTTATAACCCTTCATCCTAATGGCTCAACTGTTCCCAATGTGATGTCAAGACTCTGGCCCATATAATCACCTTTGTTTTCCCACGTCACCTACTTTAGCAGTTATCTATTTGGGACATTGCAGCTCATTGACTTCTACAAGAAAAAAAGCAAATAATTGTAAGCAAGTAAGGCATGTATGCTTTGCTCCGACATATCCAGAACTCCAGCTGAGGAGGAATAGAGGCCTTGTTAAAAAGAAATACATTTAAGCATTTCTCTTGTTACTAGCAATATAAGCTAAGCATTCCTAAGACGCAATCCCATTTACATATATATTGTGTTTCCTTCTTAAAACATCTGCTGAGATACTGTTCTTTCTAATGAAAGGCAGATAATAATATGCTCAAAAACCCTTTGCCAGTTTCGCTTCATCTTTTCAAAAAAGTAATTTCAAGAAAGTTCTTTTGCCTTTCCCAATTAGATACATTTTTATACCTCAAAAGCTTTCAATTTATTGTCTGTACCTTTTCTATAAATTTAATGAGAGCCATCTTCTCACTCCCAAAACCTATTCTCAGCCAATATTCTTTAGTTAAACTTTTTTATACCTGTGTTCAGAATCTGAGTTTTGGAGAAACTATAAATAAAAGGATGCAAGACTTAATGAATTGATTTGCAGTACAATCACAGCAAACAATATTTTGTCTCCTTCAACAACATAAAGCTTCAGAAGGCAAATGAATCACGTTCCTGACATTTGAGGATAAGCACCTCAAAATATTTCACCAATTATCTCTACAGCAAAGTCACAGTTCATTTGCGACTCATTTATCTGAAAGTTGAGGATGTCAGCTCAGCCTGGAGGGTACATTTTCTTTTCACATAAAATAACCATACTATGAGCATCAATTAAAGTACAACCTGACAATCCACAATAAGTAATTTCATTTTTTTATATGGAGCACATTTGCTTGCGCATACATTTTAAACAGTGTGAATGATGTAGAGAAGGAACATCTATAGAAAAATAATCCAAACGTGCTGAAAAAGTTAAATGCAGCACTAAGTCAACTTTACTTTGTGTCATGTCATGAAGGAGTGTCTGTATAGGATATCTACCATTTACTGTAAAAGTAAACTAAAATCTGATGCTGTCATCTCCACCTTTGCGTCTACTGCTTGTCTAACTCCTCACTCTGCACTGGAATCCTAACTTCCTCTGGTCCTATGGTCAGAGGACTATCCCTCAACCAAGAAGGTTTAGTCAAATCTCATTCCCAACATTCCCAAACACATCTTATTCTTGGGTGCTATGAATCCTCATAAAGGTAATATTGTATTTCATTTTAGCTGCATTTTGTAGGCATTGTATGACTCATATCCACAACCATAGAATAGAAAAGAGAATTTTCATTTAGTCTTTTCAAGATCAGGAGCCAATTTCACTATTGTATCCGTGGGAGTGTTGTTAGATTTACCTTTTCTCCAAAGTAAAAGAAAGTTTTAATAGGTTCAAATTCCATTGACTGTTCATAAGTTATTTGAGCTAACCGCAATACAGATGTCAACAGCCTCTTTTCTGATGTCAAAGCTGAATATGACACATACTGTAGAAAACAATAACAATTGTATCAACATAACACAAACACTTGGTATCCCTGTTAAACACTCTAATTCGATGAGTGGGAAGTCATTATTAATGCTAATTGGCTTGCTAGAAGTAACACTGACATGTTGGACACTTGTTAACAAATTGTTTAGAATGTGCTGTTCATATTGACAACGTGGTGACACTTTAGAACAGGGTTAGCAAATGTAAATTATAAATGCTAATTGGATTAAATTAATAAAGATTAATTGGGTGGAAGTAACAAATCCTTATCCTGATAAGACCCTGAAACATATTTGTCACAGATTGACAAAAATGGGTCAGCAGGTACTGTATCATAAACCCTGTTGAAATTTAAGTTTGCGTTGAAATTTATGTATTGATAAGCTTCTGACACCAGGGACTCTAGAGAGCATCTGAGGAAGACTATTTTATATTATATTGGATAACAGTCTTGTCGTTCCTGTGGATGCACTGCTGGGTCTGGGAAATAAAAACAACCTGTTGCAGGATTGTTAGGTGGCATGTGGCTACAAAGTTAACTTTTAAAAGCAGTTCCTGCATTTAGGGGTCACCTTCTGCTACATATGCAAGATTTTTTATTTTGTATTACAACATTAAAAACATGTAAAGATACTGTTAATAGACATTTATTCATACAAATCTGTTAATATAGACCTAAATTTAGATCTAAATTAACAAGTTGAACTTTAGTTGAGATCTCCAACATACAGGAACTGTCTATAAACAATCTTTTAATGTATTAATATTGATTAATAATTTATACTTAATTTATTTTGACTAGTAATACAGATTATTACAAATGCCTAACCCTAGGGTTAGGGTCAGCATTACAGGTGTGGTGTAGACTACGGTAAGGAAGACACTGTTTTCTTGCATTAATAATCTCAGTAGAAACTGTGGGTCCATTGTGGGAGCTCTGTCTTCTTTCATATATTCTGTAAGAAGGTCCTGTTATTCTTTAAAAAATGTGTAAATGGGGAAACATTAAATCACACAAAACTAATCTTAAATGACAACTGCCCCCCCTCCTCCTAATTTACTTCAGCTTCTGTCTTTGCCTCTGAGCCTTTTCTTTTTCTTTTACTGAGGTGATCTCAGATCTGAATCCTTTTCTTCTAATATGTCCATTTTAGACAGAAACTAATGAATATTGTTAACCCATGACTACCAGACAAATCTAATATCTAGACTCATCTATCTTCCCATGCTTCTGCCTCCTACGCACCAGATCATTCCAGGACACAATTAGCAATTCAGTTTTCACCCACTTAGCATTTTGATACATTGCCTTATGCTAAACACTATAAATATGAATCCGCTGTGAAATACAAAATGATGATGGGATTACTTTTCAGATTTTAATAGAAATACAATTAAAATATGTAACTAGATAATGAGTTGCAATAGCCAAGGTGTTTAAATTCTGGTAAAGTAGAGATGTCAACGTCTTCCATAACTCTTGACATTTGTCATAATTTGGGTGGACAGTTTTCCATTTGTCTTTAGTATCCATTTCAATACAGAACAATGAGGTCACCAACTTTGACCTGCTGCCACGCAACACAAATGACAGGTGTTATATCCCCAAAAATGATTTCCCTACTTAATGAACCCAACACAGGTAAATTAACGAGGCTGCACCTTTTTCACTTCATATTTGATGGCCAGTTTCACACGACTGAGGCAGGGCCTGTGGTGATCCCCCTGAGGTACCTGGTCCACGTCTCCATTTAGAATGGCTTCCACTTCCTCGGTGTCTCGGCAAAGGTCTAGCACCCCGACAACGAAATCCTTACATTGCATAGATAACTTCCGGTAATCATTCTGCAAAGGGAGGCAAACACAGAGAATTCGCTTACTTACAAACATAGAGAACACATGTTTACTGTGTTTGAAACAGAGGTAAAAAGAGTTCCAACAAAAATATCTTTCATCCAATTTGTAAAACTACACCAATTGGTTCTGTCATAGACCTTTCCTGGCATGTGACTAGTGACTAATAGGTTAAATCTAATTCTGCTTGTTAAAGCCTCCATCATGATTTCAGACTATTGAAACAAACAAAAAAATGCCTTCTAGTATAGTTGAATTTTAGTGAAGATTTGTGTAATGGTTATAGCAGTTGAAAATGTCATAGGCATGTGGAGAGGCCAAGTTTCAAAGGGTGCATTGGAAACTCCAAAATTCAACAGCTGAAAATAATTTGTGATAATAAAAGCAAAATCTATTTTTATCATTACAAAGCAGTAGTTATTTTGCTTTTATTGACTTTTTGTGGCATTTATGTTTGCCAGGCTGTTGTGTTAATAGCTCTTTTAAGTTCCAGTAATTTACTTTAAAGCATACAATGGTACTGTATAACTAATTTGTTGGGCAGCTTTCGGTTTCATCCATTGCTGGCTGAATATTTGCATAGCATATTGACTGATGTAAATTAGTGAAAAATACTTTCCATACCAATTTCTGCCCTATATTTTGAGCAACCATATTGCATTGATATTGTGAGCCCAATCAAGAAGCACTTCCATAAGTTCTTTGTCTTGAAAATGTAGTATATCAAATAACAATACACAAAATAGGACATTTTAAGCTTAACCTTTTTACAACATGGCAGTTGCAATCAGATCTCATCTGATGTATTATTCTATGACCCCCAATAATAATAAAAATAAATCAATTCAATACTAGGAATTAGAGTACTAATGAAAATGTGAGGCTTTCATTCGTTCATAACCATAATGTGTTAGATTACTTCATGAATTACTCATGTGGACATGACAAAATAAGTACTATGTGCATACAGTATGACTGGTGAAAAAAGAAAATATTTATTTCCTAATGTATTCCAGAAATGATGGAGGGTAATACAGATTTTCAGCAACTGTGGTGTGCACATCTGTTTCTTTAACACATGAGTACACAGCCTAAGGGTGGAGCAGAAGATTAGACTTTATGCTTTAATGCAGGGAAAATTCAAAGGATCATTTTAATTTCATCATACTTCCAATCCTAAATTGTAAATTAGTGACACAAAAGGGAAAAGCAATTATTAAGGCGTCAAAAAGAGAAGAGAAAGATATTTTGATGCTCTAATAAATGCCATGTGAAGAGAGATCCTTAATGTAATGTCATGTATTTATTTCCAAAATATTCTCATAAAACATAAAAGGACTCTACGTACTGTACAACATATTACATCAACACTACTATATAGAGTGTCACCATCAACAAATAGATGCCCATGATGGTAAAAAAAACACCAACAAACTATTTCTAAAACCATATGCAGTAGATCATAATCTGCGGCGACTATGTGGATGTCAGGATGAAACCATAAATATTCATCAGTGGCATGAATCTGCATGAGAGAGTTCTAGAATCTTTATGCATCGAAAAGCTTTCAAAGGGATTCATACCCAATGACTCGTCTACAGTGACTATAATAAATTCTGTATTACACTGCACTCAGCCTGCAGTGGTTTTTACTTTGGGTGCTAGAGTCTCTTTTGTGCAGGGTGAAAATTGAGCCCCTAGACAGGTACAGCTGCCTACCTATCCCTCTCAATTGTAGACACTTCTTTTTTCTACATCAGTTCATTGAGCATCATGCATTGGATGAAATGACTATTGAAAATACATGGATGGAAAAATTCAGTTGTAATTTGGTGATTTTTGAAACCCAGGCTGAATATTGAATATTGTTTTTTTTTCAGGGTGAATACTGGTTCTGGAATGGTTGGATTCAATGTTTTAATAACAACTGATATAGAGGCCTCTCTGATTGTGTCACACTGGGAAAAGACAAGATACATTCTGTAAACCATGGATAGAAAAACAAGGAATGTTTGAGTTCTATAAAGGAATTACCTTTCTCCAGAAAGCAAAACCTAAAAAATGATCTCAAAGATAGAGTGGAAGGTTAACAGACTGAAGCAATGAAGTACAGCACCTTTCACTGAAACATGTTTTTGTAAGATGTTGAAAGCCTGAAGGGTATAAATTGCCTCTTCACTACATGAAAAAATATTCCATGCACGCCACAAGCAAGATTAGCTATTTCTTATCTTAGGTAGCACATTCCAGAGTATAATTGTAACTACCTTTCCAGTAAAAACTGTTTTCGATTCATGCATGCTTTTGAGGGATACACAACAGCCTTTTTGTACAGGCAGATAAAACCAATGTCTTTTTGGCTGAAAAAAAAACTGCAAATAATTACAAAGTAAGACTTTATTTTAATTTAAAGTAACCTTTCATGTCAATAACTTCAAAAAGCTGTATCCTCTGGGAAAGGACCTTTAGAGAAAGAGTTTGCCTTTCAAAAAGAGAGTGGGGTTTATCTCTGATTTTATCATTCTCAAAATCACATGTACTAATCCTTGCGCTGAAAGAGAAGAAGCAAAAACAGCTCCTCTGGAGATTTCGTGCATGATCCCTTTTTTAGCCTTTGCTGTTCTGTATTTTGAAACTCACATACTGCTGTATTGTTCAAACAGAATGTGTTTCACTTGTGAAGCTGATGGGGTGGAAGTAAATGCATTTAAAACAGTAACTCTTAATGGACAGAGCAGTTCGAGGGTTCCAGTGGGTAATATTATATCATCTATGTTTGTGTGTAAATATGTGGATGGTACACACCTCCTGTAGCCTGGTCTCATCAAATCTCAGGAGCAAAGCAAAGCTGGGACTATTGAGCACTGGGATCGCAGATCTTCAAGAAATAACGGGTTGCTGCTACAAATGGGGTTAGTGGGCCAGTATGTATCTCTACTCCCTTTGTGCCAGAAAGTCTAAAACAATGTCCCAGTACAGTGGCAGTGGACAGGGTGGTGTTCAAACTGCTGTCCTTTAAATGAGACATTAAACATAGGTTCTACTAAATGCTAAATTCCACTGTAGCATACTTAGTCAGTCTTGTATGACGTGCTGTACAGTGAGTCTGCTGATGCATAATGGCTCTGGGATGTCACCTAAGGTGGGTGCTACACTTTGGTATTGAATTAACTTGAAATCATGCTATATCAGAATACGGGAATGGATGAGTTGGAGACTTCGTAGCTCTTTTGTGAAATAGGGGTTTGGAATGATTATGTTTACAAAAGATAAAAAAACAATGTTTGTGAGAAGTTGACTTATTTTATTATAAAGGACACAAATGTACTTACACTACATATAATACAACTACTAAGTAGGTTTATTGGAATAAATGAAGCAAATGGTTTTCAAACACATGAGAAATTAAGAAATGTAACTTAATTGGGTTTTTTTCTGACCTAAGATTTTTCAATGCATAAGCTGTAAAGGTTTAATTTTGAACAGACATATTTGTGTTCAACCCTATTTGAAGGTGAATTGGCCACAGCACCAAGATAGAATAATTATACAGATGTCAGGCTATTAATAGTACAGTTAATAATTTCATTGAAAAGAAATTAAATATGTGGCCTCAACTGTATCTACAAAAACATTAGGGATGTTATATAATTAGGAAATAATAACATTTTGATTGCTGGCAATTAAATACTGTCCTTTAAAAGGACCTTTTCCATGTACATCTTCTTCATAAACAGAAAAAGACATCTGGGTCATTGTAAAAAGCTTGATTACTTGTTCCTCATGAATAGAGTAATACATTTAAAAATCAATCTGGCTTCTGGTATTTACTATATCCCAATTTCAATCTTTACCTCAGAAATAAAAAAAAAACAGAATATGTACATTACTGTGCAAATGTCTTACACATTGTTAGGTCAGTGTTTTTCACTTCACACAGAAACACAATTCTATGAAGATCTTCTACTGAAATCTCAGTAGTTAATCCTGACAGATCTGCATTATATGGCAATAAATATGCCTTTTATCTCTATGGATGTGGAGAGAAAGAAACAAATGGTGTTTAAGTTGAGCAATACCTGATGAGCCTATTGGATTTGATTGGTGAGTGTGATGGATTGGCTAGTACAAAATGGCATGTTGGCTGCTCATGCATAGCTTACCTTGAGCTGTTGTGATCAAGTTCTTGAGGATCCAGATGGATATGGATGGACTTAAAGATGGCTAAGTTTGGTTTCTTCTTAACAAAACTAAGATGCATCTCTCCCCCAAAAAATCAAAGTATTTTTCAGCAATATGCTTTACAAATGTTTTAGGAAGAGATGTATATTTTCCATATAGTAGTAAAGGGATTACTACATGGAAATTTGCATTTAAAAGGAAACATATAAGACAAAATAAAAATTGTAGTGAGTTTGAGCTAAACATGAAAAACATGTACCTGTAAAAGAACTCATTACTCCAAAATACTCAAATATAAATATCCTCATCTAAGGATTCCAGATTTTTAAATAACCCCTGAATTTATACTAGAAGACAAACTTATGAGAAAAAGAAAAGCAGCAATGGACACAAAATCTAATATATAGTATCATGATGCCACCTTACCAGGACATCTACACCACCTTCAATTTCTCACCTTAAACTCTGTCTCTATGTTTGCAAGTCTTGCCAGCTCGTTGCTGAGCTCTAAGGCAGTAAGTACAGGGTCTTCGCTGGAAAGGGATAAGTAGGCGGCACTGGCCAGCCCCTTGTACGCATTCATCCTTGAGCGCGAATGGCTGAAGGAGTCTTTTCTCTGTTTCTCAGTGCACTCGTGGCACTTGCAGAAATAGTCGTGTGGCTTCTCAATGCGAGCCCCCTTCATCAGGAGGATGTGTACGATCTCGTATTCCTGGCAGTGGGCAGCCAGGATGACCGGGGTGATGTCGTGGGAGAAGCGGGTGCCGTCCTCATCGTAGGCGTAGAAGTCGTCGTCCCGCAGCTCCTGTTCCAGGGGGCTGAGGGTAAGCCTGAGGCCGCCGGCAAAGGCAGGGTGATTGAGGATGGCCTCCACGATCCGCACGTAGCCCTTGCTGATGGCCAGCAGGAGAGCATCCCCCACTCGCGCCAAGTTGTCCTTTTTCAGGAGCAGCTCTGTCACCTCCAGGTGCTCGTTCCCCACTGCCAGCTGCAAGGAGTTCTGGCCCATGTAGTCCACGCAGTTAAAGTTTAGGGTCTTCGACTCTTCCAGCATCTTCCTCACGACGGGGATGTTACCGTATTCAGCGGCATCGAGGAAGCGTTCCTCTTCTGCTGTTAGGCTAGTCCCCTTCTCGTTGAACATGTACGCTGGCCCACGGATGGCCTGCCGCCTGCCCTTCTCCCGGAGTGTGGTGTGGCGGCGATGCATGACTTCACTACCACTTCTCTGCAGCCTGCGATGCATGAGAGAGAAATCCTCATCAGTATTAGATTGTTCAAGTGGGATACAACCATGTTTGGTAACGTTTTAAAGTAAGATTAACTTACCATGTAACATAAGTGGGACCATTTTCATGATTAACTTACCACGTAACACAAAGAGTAACATATTTATTTACATCTTTATTTTTCATTAACAACATAGTGCAATAAAGTTGGATCACATCACTGAAAATGGCTATTTAGGCTTTTTGAATGCTGTCTGTGATTCCAAAATTCAGTTTATTTTTTTTAAAGAAGTGTGTGTGCTGGTGTGCATTTAATAAAATTGACACCTAGTTGTTTAAACTACAGCATAAGAAGCTGCAACCAAAGTTAAATTTAAATTATACTTGACCTTGACCAGTTCATCAAAGTCAATCTTAGCTGGTTACTGGTTTTTATTGCTTAAATAATTGAATGATTATTTGACTGATTTGGGGGTAGAAGAAGCTTGTTTCCTGAAACATAGTTGCAGCGTTTATTTGTTCATCAACTTCACTACTAATTTTCACTACTAAATCCTTGTTCACTTCTCAGGCACTACAGTTTACTGTTCTAAACAACATCTTAATAAATTGACCCTTTTCGTTTGACTTTGTGTGACTGGATAGATGTCATGGGCCATGCAGAATTTAAGGCACTCAACCATAAGGCCTTGATAACACAGAAATACATTTTGTAAAAGTGTTATTTTCACCACACAGCCCTGCTTTTATGTCTGCTATTATTGTAGAGAAGTTACTTCTGAATCTAAAAAGGACCTTTATTTAAAAGCTTTATCATTTGCAAAAATTATACAGCACCTGCTCTGCCAGATGATGATCTGTTCGTTTTCCCTACAATGCCTGTGACTGCACTGCCTTATAATTGAACTGATTTTGGGGTTTTACAGTACATAGGAAGAATGGTGTTTTCATCACATCTATTTTATTAAATAAATGGATTCAGCCAAGAGTCTTAATTTTCTAGACCTTTTCCATAGGTATGTTGTTTTCACTTTAATACACAGTACACACAGTATATATTTCCACAGTTCTCTTGCAAATTGAATGCTTCAGTGCTTCTTTTTCATGTTTATTTCTGCAGGCAAATCAGCTGCGACTCTTAGCAAGATCTAACACAGATGGCAAGACTTTCAGGTAAGTGCTGGAAACTAAACAATTCCATTTTTAAACAGAACACACGGAAACATATTTACTCTCAGATAAAAGCAGGGCATATCTCCCACGTAGTCACTACAAATACTGTAGTCTTCTTCAAAAAACAGAACTGCTCTTCAGGGGGTAATTTTCTATTAATTTGTGAGATGGCATTTTCTTATAAAGCCATCTCACAAATTTGTATAATCATGTGTGTCTCTCTTAACTGTTCTGTTTCCATTTCGGTTTGAACCTACAATATTTAAAATCCCTGAACGATACAGGATGGAAACAGAAGCAATGCAACAAATCAGAATAACAGGGATATATTCTGCTGCTTTGAGAACCTCTTGAATTTCTTCACACTCAGCACATATTTCAAATTCTCAATTAATTTGTACCTTAGACAGTATCTGGTGAATTCCAGTGAACCGAAATGATATAATTACAAAAATTCTTCACTGATATGACCTGCTATTATTTTGCTCAAGTCACCACACCCTCTCATTACAATTTTCATAACCCACTATTTAAAATAAGCTTATTTTCACTCATATTCCAGTTTTCTCCACTGCATTAAATCTTTATTCTGCAGCCTCCCTCTGCTGGCATTTTGTAACGATCGTTGCATTTTAATTATGTGTCATGTTGATGCGGATATTCATGATCTCCCCCATTCATTTACCCCTCATTTACATACCTCTTTTAGGGGTACTTTCAACCGCGAATGCTGCTCATACAGTAATCATGCAAAGAGTAGGGCAATGTTATGATGTGGCAAACCCCTAATGTTTTAACAGAAATTAGTTTAGTCTGCCAGGACTTTTTAAATATTCTATGTCTTTTTCACATAAGACATTTTATGATAAAGACAGGCATAGCATAAATGAAAAAAAAGCTTTCTATTTGATACTGTTTATCTGAAGAGTTAGAAGTCTTAAACCTCCTTATCTTGTCTTTCCATGATTTCAGACCCCTGTTTTTTTGCTTGGATGGCACAGGCTACCCCTCCCAACCAGAAAATAGATAACACAGCCACACGTTTGTTAAAGAATTGTGACTGACAAGGGGTCATGGTAAGTTAAAGGAAGCAGCAGAATCACTCACAGATGTATGGAAGTAAATCTGACACTTTTCCACATTAGACCTTCAGCTCTTTGTGTATGATTCATAAAGAAGCATTGAGCTTTGTCATTTTTTGTCTTCACTAAATACAAATGTAAGAACTGCATTCAAACGTTCATATTAAAGAAACCAAAAAATAAGGAGGTTATATTTTGTTTGATGTAAATGTTTCTCAAGACTTGCAAGTAGGTGTTGATCATATTGTTCTATGCGCAGCTGGTGTCAGAGAAAAGTCTCAATGTTCTCTGTTTTGCATTTTATCTCTTACATTTAAGGAACTCTTTTTGAAGAGCCTTAGATAGACAGGACCTGGTGCCGATGTACATAGAAAGAGGATGTATATTACTAGATAAAGATTTAAAGATATTGGATACATCTCACTAGGACAACTATAATAGACTATAATAAAATGATGCAGGAATATCCTGACTCTCCTTTGCAAATAGTCATTGTGGTCCACCACATACAAAAATAGAACAGCATTGTCCTTCTGTGCTTCTGTGTCATTTCAGAAGGTCATAGTTGACTTAATGATTAATCTTCTATGTGTACCACTATCTATCAGGTGGGCTCCCTGTTGCTGTGACCCTTATTACGAATAAACACCTTTCTTATAATGAATGGATAGATGAATATAAATATAAGAGTATAAAATTAAATCCTGATTTTGAAAAACCTTGACTGAGCATTTTATTAAACATAAGACAACTTCATAATTCAACCTTGTCAGAATCAATTTTTCTGCATTGTCCTCTACCTTATACTTGTAAACCCTGGATAAGGTTGTCAACCTTCCAAATAAATTATGAATCATTGTTATAATACAGTGCAATATGTATTTAATAGTGATTGTAGATTTGACATGTAATTTATGTGAACTCATGTATAAGTGATTCACCCTCCACACATTGAAATGTAGATTCAATGTTAATATAACAACTATTCAGTTGTATTTCTAATATTATTGAGTTTATCGTGGAAGTCAGTCTGAGCTGCACAAGAATAAAATGTATTTAATAAATCAGATAAATGCCAAATTATTCTCTTGGATGATGATGAATTTCTCTTATACAGTTGTTGACTACAGTAAGTCTGAGAAGAAAAAGCCCTGTGATGGGCAGGATGTTTTGGACAATTTGTTCAGTAGCAACCTCAAGACTTATTTTTAAAGCATATTCAAAACTGAGTTTATTAAACTATTGTCTATGAGAATCCTTGGCTAATACAGTACAGCAGTATGTTATATCACATGCTCACTATAATAGCATTGCTGTTTTGGAATTTCTCCACACTGTCTTGTTGTTTCGTTCAGCTTTACAACAGAGATAATTGTTCAAACTGTTCAAATTGTTCAAAATTTAAACTAACTCTTTACATGGATTTTGTTCATTACAAGAACCAACATCCTAAAGAAGTTAAATATGGGCAACGGATTAAGATCATAGAGACATTAACAACAATAGGTGGACATTCACCCCTTCTGTATTTGCATGCTAGTTGGTAATTGATCAGAGTAATCAGAGGGCCTTTCACACTCATTTCTTGAAGGAAGCCAGTATATCAGCTTCAGTAAAATGGCAGCTAGCTTGTACCAGACTCCCACAGTCTTTTGCGTAAAGACCTGCCTTCTAATGCCCATTCCTTTCATTTTCACTCGTGTCTTACATTCGTACAGTAATATCTATGGTGGAATATGAGCTGCAACTCAGTCGTACTATTTGCAGTTATACTGTATATACAGACACTAGTATTTTGTTAACATAATAATTCTCTCCAAAAGATACTTTAAAAACTGTAATATTATTTAGAGTAATACCCTTTTCTAATCGATGTAAAGCTAAAATCAGCACCTAGAGGGAATGGGAAATTAAGATAATGACTTACCAACAGTATAACAGTATGCCCAGCTGTATAGATAGTGCTGTGGGGAGATGTAACCAGGCCTTAAGACGTCTCATCTCTAGTTGCACACAGGAGTAGAACAATATGGTTTAAGAGATCATAATGATCAAAATAAAATTAAATCTAATGGAAATGTAATTGATATTGCTTCTAGATTTTTTTGAAAATTGCATTAAAAACATAAAGGGCAATAATCATAGTGAATTAAGTCATAGTAATGGTTCTAATTCAAAATCTTTATAGAAAATAAAACTTCCTGTATAATTGTAAAGCACTAAAAGTATTATTCTGGAATAGATTTGAAGATTATTAAGTACTTTTCTTTGTTTGTCAAAAACGTAAATAACTTTAGTCTTGTTTTTTGCGACTGTGAAGAAATGGACCTAACAAAGAATTTTGAGAGTTTTGTCATCAATCACTGCCGAAGATAAACTACAGGACAATAAAACCCTGTATGAAAGCATCTACAAAATTAATCCACTTCACAAACAAATTTAAAAGACGAAAGAAGTTTTCAAAGTGGTGATGCATTCAGTAAGAATATATGGCTTTTTTTAAAATTAATTTTTAGATTAATTTCAGAGTTGAGAAGGAAGAATCTTTGCTGAGGTGTGTTTTGTGGAATGCAAGAGGAAGACATTAGGATTCAGCTGGAGAAGTTGTGAGACTTATAAATGGGCAGGTATGTGAGAGGATGGATAGACATGGATCTTTCATATACAAGAAAATAGACTACAAGTGAGAGGAGGCCCTTTTGTCCATTAGGCACATTTGGTTGCTAGTAGCTAAGTGATCCAAACCTCTCTTTCAACTACTTCCTCAAAAAAAAAACAGGCTGTCACCTTCCACGGTACAGATGGGTAGCTTGTTCCAGAATCCCACAACCATTTGTATAAAAAAGTACATCCTGTTCTTGGCACTGAATGCAGAACAACAGTAGAGTATTAGTGGAGTGAATACCCTTGTTTAGAATACTGGAAGAGCAAAACAAAACTACATTGGGACAACCAAAAATGTGAAAAATGTAATCAATACTTCAATCATAAGGACCAAATAATCAACCACAGACTTTTATACCAAATGTATAGTAAAATAAGAGAACCTACTCAAGTTAGTAACTTGCTTAGCATATGCCCTTATCCAGGGCGACTTACAATATAGAAAACATACCTTAAATGTAAGTACAAGAAGAACTGCGAAGGAACAATAAACTAACAATACACTAAATTAAAAAATGACAATGAGGCTTGTACAAACTGCATGTGCTGCACACACAAAATGAAAAAGAACTGGAAAAAAATGGAAAGTTGTAATATGAGAATAAATCTAAGATTTTAACATTACTTCCCACATACTGTATAATCATACATCTTGAAACTAATAAAACAGACTGACAAGACTTACTACAAATCTATTATTCAGCACATCAGATGGACATGAAATAAATGTTAGTAAAGGCACATTCGAATTTATACATGGAAATGATTTTTTTGTATCTGTCGAGAAGTGATAAGGAGGTGTGTTAGTATGATTTCTATAATATAACTTGAATACACTCTGTTGGAATGCAATTGATCTCAATGTAGATTTCTCACAGAAGAAGGTGTTTTAACATTTAATATTAAAAAAAATATTATTTGCGTGAAACAAGTCATATTTTAATCTTACATGTTGTGTTACCACATCTCCCTTGCATTTTGCTTTATGTTATTGATTTCCTAATTATTAATTTATCCATAAAACCTGAAAACACATGTCATATTTATTTGGAAAAAGTCAGAGCTAAGATACAGTACAGACCTGTACACCTATAGGAATATCTGGTAAAAGCACACTCAACACAGCCCATATCCACAAACATATTGTGGAGTGTTGGAAAATATCATGCTGCCAAAGAGCATGAATACAGGTTACCTTCATAGGATAGCAGGAAGGAGGAGTTTCAAGGATCTTTCAAGGCAAAAGAGCCTATTAAAAAATCACAGATTTAGCAAACAGCTGTCCTGTGCTGGAATAATCACAAACAGGAATAATGAAATTACTGGTCAGTGCAAATACTACAACATGATGCTGTCACCTCTCTGTAATGCCAACAGACACCTGAGGTGGAGGAATACCAACAAATAGAATGAACAGCACAGAAAAAAATGATGTGGAAATCAATACAAATAATGAAAAGCCTGTTAAATTAATTACAGGTGGAAGGACCTTGAATAATGTGAGCCGCAGATATCCTTTCTCATCTTCGAAAGCAGCCACGTTCACATTTCCCCAGGTAGGAAAATGTGATCCAGCCTTAGCATTTATACTGCAGATTTTCTACAATGACGAAAATCTGAAGTGAAGCTTAAAACAGCATCATGGGAAAAATAAAGAATTTTGCTGTCCTCTGAGACATTTAGCAGTTTTCATATGTTTCATATGTTAATGTATGTTAATTTTTTTTTTTATTTCAGAAGGTGTTATCTCTTGTCTCATTTTAAATGCAAAACCTCTCAAAGCACAAACAGTGATTACAAATAAAAAAACAATGTCTGGAAAGAAGCCAAGTTCATTTTAGTTGATAAGTGTGAAGGAGTTTTAAAGGTTGGCTGTTTCTATTTGATCAATTGTCTTTTTTTTAAGAGGAAACATTTTTCACCTTCCTAATTTGAAAAGTCCAATCATAAATCACCATCAGTAAGTTCTCCACTAACAAGCTGCCTGTATAGCAAAAAGGTGTATTAACACTTCTTCTCAGCATTTTCTTTTTGCTTTTCTTCCTATCAGTGCCCTCTAGAGTAGCATCATCACATTAAATCGCTGGTTACTGTAGTTGGGGTAAATATTGTGAACATGCTTAGTTTACACTTGTCTCTTCGGTTTGAAAATGATGAACTCATGGTCATTAGCACAAGCAGTACCTGAACACAGATACCGTGCCAGCATGTGACAAGGGAAATCCTTTCCACATGGATCATCTCCACACCACTGTACACTGTCACCTCCTTTTGCTTATGGAAGTATTAAAAATGGGTTTTATTCTGTTAAGGGGAAAAGTAATTTATTCTCTGAACTAAGAAGGTTTTGTTACATTTATCATTTCTACGAACTAAACAAACTGGAATATTAATTAATATTTTAGCATAAATGTGAAAGGCACAACTGCATTTTGAGGAAAAGGAGACCGAAACCTTTTTAGCGTTCTCAGGTAAACATACCCTACTCATCTGCAACCATGGAAAAATTAAAAAGGCCAGCATAAGAGCGAGAGAAATACACGGGACAAGCTCTGCCACAGTGTCTGAATTGTAAGATGAAATGAGGGAAGACAACCATTTAATTCTGAAAAAATACTAAAAAAAAAAATCAGAGCTCTGACAAGCGTCAGTATTCATGTAATCAAATATGGCTCAAGACCTCGAACCCGCTAAAAGACAGGCAGAATTCTGGTGTGACTGCTACAACAACCATGCGCCTCACAGGGAATTCTTAAGACTTTTCTGAACGTAACTATCCTGGTGCTGAATTCGGATAAATCCCGAAAGGCCAAGAGTACAAAGAGTAGGCATTTCTCTACAATGTAAAGATAAAAGCAATTGTGTAAAGTGGCAGACGTGGTGAGTAGGAGATACTGTATCGTTCGTGTATAAATTAAAAAATGTAAAATGGAGATTTTGGGTGGGGGTGGGGAAGGATTTGAAACGGAATACACTAGAAAATTCGGGATTTCCTCTCATCCCCTCCCACGCCAAAAAAAAAAAGAAAAAAAGAGGTAAAACACCATCTAAAGACGTCACAGCAATCTCTCTGTGGTCATGGGTCGTGTTGGATTTTAAATGAAGTGAATCTATCACACTACCCAGCTGAACTTTAAACGGAATGGACATTGTTCCGTAGAATACTTAACGTCACAGAATCACAAGGTTACAAAATGTCAACTGTTTAGATACCTATAGCAGTAAAGCAGTCATGTTTTCTAATACATGCAAATAGCGAAAGTTCGATACTGCTTGTTTAATGGATGTGTATATTATAATGCTACATTTTGAATCTCTCATAAGTTAAATTTCTATAACCTAGTTTACAGTGTAAACCCGCGTTGCAATAATTTAAATGAGACAGTTCTGAATATTTTAATAATATAATCAATAATGGTAATGTGCATTTGGAATAATCCAGATATTACCACGCTGTCTAATACCCCCATTATAAGCCCATAGAGAATACTTGCAATATCTTGTTTAAGAAGGGGATTTATTTTGCACAATAATAGCTGGAAACCATTACGCCCCAACAAGCTAAAGGCACCTGTCTCTGATTTGAAAAATCAAATCACGAATTAATATGTTAGCTACATGTCATTTGTTAACGTTATTCAGAAAGCAATTTTATACCAAATATTTCACGTGTGCAAATGTGTGTAAACGCATTAATGTATAAAATTAATATATGATTTTGAAAACATTTATATTATTGTGCTCACCTGAGTATGCAGGTTTAAAAATGATTATTTCTCTTACATCGTTCGGATTAACGTCTCTGAATATGAAGATGTACTGTAAGCTAAAAAAGCAAGATAAATTCCCATTTAACCTTTGTTAATAAATAATCACAAATCAAGTACTACTATTACTATTCGAGAAACCAATTCCTACTGTATTTATGTAGTGTACTTTACGGAGACAAGTTTCTTATAGAATACTTTACTCTCCTAGTCTTGTATTCCGAACAGTCACAGCTCTGTGACGGGACGTATATAGAGGTCGCCACTCAGAGGTCAAAGGCATGCAATCTTGCATTTTAGGGTCGGGTCTAAATCCTCGTTTTTATTCAGTATTACCATTTTAAGGTTAAAGATTAGAGCCCACTACTTATAATTGGTATGATACCTCTTTTACTTTGTTACTTATCTTATACCGTCAAGACACTACCTTCATTTTTGCGATATAGTAAATAAAATTGTTATGAAAAGGGTTCTGACACCTCTCACTGTGAAGTGAATTAGTGCATAAACACTAATATTATTATTTAATATTAATATTAAGAAGAAGAAGAAGTGTTGCTGCCCTTTGTTAATGAAGAAATTCTGGAATTGTATCAGTTCACAAATTGACAGAAATATGTAATAACGTTTTTAAGCTTCAGTTCCATAATATTGGTGTAAAAATGTCTCGTTATAGCATTATAGTGCTATATTTCCCAGTATTTAAAGTTACAAATGCTTCACCTTTGTTTGATACACGTCAAGGAATTGTTCAATAGGTGTCGCTGCGATGCTCTTACGTCACAGAGTTACTGATAAAAAAACTTTATATTAGTGGAAGCCTGAAAATATATCCAGAAATAAGTCAAGCCTGGATGATGATTATCAGGACATTTTTACATTATTATTACTATTAATATATATCCTTAGTGGATTGCCTACTATTTGCTCCGTATCAAGAGTAACGAAAAGGAAAACACATTTTACAATCAATAGACTGATATTAAACAGTTATTGGTTTCTAAAAAAAATGGAAACATGACTTGTTTGAAAATTTAAACATATTACTACCAATAGAAACAAAAATCATAGTACAGTACTTACATCCGGTGTGCAGCGCGTTGTTTTGCTTTCTTCTCTAAATGAGACAGATATTCCTAACACCAATTGCCATAATCCACTGTGTCACGGTTTCAATGAGAACGCTGTCCAAGGTCCTGAAATGCACTGCAGATTTCCTTATAAGCATGTCTGTTAGTTCTGATGTCCATGGTACAAAAGAAAAAACACGTTTTTTTCCATTTGCTTCACCTAAGCGCGCATTCTGCCTTTGCATTGATAAAGTCCGAGGTGTCTTACAATTGGGGGTTAACTCGGACTGCTAAAAGTGCGAGACGTCCTCCCCATATACTGAGTTAAGTGCGAGATCCGCCGCGCCTTTGGGTGAAATGAGAATCTCCGCTGTTCATATTAGCGCGAGGTGCCCCTGTTGCTGAGAGGCTTCCTCTGGTCTGTGTGGAAGAGATGAGACGCGCTCTGTGGCGAGTTCGGTGGCGGCGATCGAGTCCAGCTCTACAGTTCTTCTCCCCAGAAACTAGAGATGACAAAAAGATAACATTATTAGTACTACTGACGTAATAACTAGATACATCTAGCTGATTAAAACACTAACAGCCGCTAAATGAGACTAAGCAAATTGACAGAGTCGGGAGGAGAGAAAAAAAGAAACGTTCGTATAAGAACGACCTCCCATTTGGTTCTGTTAAAGCAGTGTTCTGCCTTGGTGTTCTGTGTTAGGTCAACATTATGCCTCCCCCAAAAAACATACAGAATAATGGTACTGTACATGTACTTCAAAGTCTCCCCCACCTCCCGCCTTCCCGTGTATATAAAGTACATACATTATCATATACACTTGTATGTACATACCCTACGTTTCACCGAGGAATGTTCGTAACCCCTTCTTTTAGACCTGTTATTATGTAAATGTTATTATGTTTCTTAAAACTAAAATAAGACAATAGACAAATACTTTAAAATACTTTAAAGCACAACTTTACACTTAAATAACTACACTAAACACATTAGCATAGCAAACAAAAAAGTAAGAATTTCCTTTAAGCCTGTGGATTTGCTTTTAAGAACATTTATGAGTTTGTTTTGTAAAGAGCAAAGGTCCTCAGTAGAACTATCTTGAAACGTGGTGAGAGGTATATGTTTTTAATTTGGTAGGTTTTTCTTTTATTTTAATGCTATAATTTTATTTTAAAAACAGAATAAGTGTTGAGATAAAACAAAGTAACAGTGCAAAGCCCAGGTTTGCAATTTCAGTCTTCATTATTCAAAGTAATACACTTGGTTTCAGAGTTATTTGTGTTTATTTCTTCTAAAAACAAATGATCTTTCCTGTGTTACACAGAACTACAGCATGTGAAAGAAGATTCAATGTTTATTTCTATATTTAATTCTATATAAACATTCAAATATTACAAAACATATTCAACTGTACGCACAAAAGAAGAGTTTCAATCATTTCACTGTTATCCCAGAGAAACTGCCTTGGAACTATTAACAGCTCACAACAATCATTTTAGTTTGTGCAACTAAAGCAGTTTTTTTATGTTGAGAAAGTCTCCTTTTCATGATTTTTTATGTTTGCACACATTAGGTATGGGATATACTTATTATATGTAATATGCCATTTCAGAAATACAATGTAATATTTTCTGTTTTTCAATGCACTTACACAAAGTAAGTAAACCTATCTGACAGAATTATGGTCTCAAGATGATGCTGTAGACTTCAAGTGGTCCTCAAGGCTTTACAAATTATGCCAATTTTTGACCATGAAAGAAATTTCACCTCCAGATATCCCGGCTTTCTGCATCTTGCAAATATTAAGACCTTTTACATGATGGTCTCCTCTTTTTCAAACTTTTGGCAATTTTAACATCGAACATCTGCAACATTAAGGGAACTGCTCACTATTACCTGTCATGTCAGATTGTCTGAAGACAGCTTAGAAACTGATCTAAAGTGTCACCTCTGGCAAAATATAACCATTGATAAACAAACAAATAACAAAAAGGCAAAACCGTACAGTAGTCTTTCATCTTGGGAGACAGGTGTGGGGGCAGTTTGTACACTAAGTGCTTATAATAGCTTTCTCTTCCCTTTCATTTCACAGCACTGTGTGAATTTATGTACCAAACTCAATCTCACTGCTGCTCTTTTCAAGTTTGATTCCTTTGAAGCTAGACCTCAGTGTAAATCACTTTATTCAAAAGACAAAAATGCTGTTCTTACTTGATCCATTGCATATAGTTCTAATCTACACAGAGCCTGCCCATGCAATTTAAGAGTTTTAAGTTGTATTTTTCAGTAGTACCACACCTCAACAAGTGATCCAACTTATTAATTTAGATAATAAAGGAAATGAGTCAGCTATGCACATAACTGTCTTTCGTTTACACCAATCTGCACCGAATGGACAGCAACATAAAACAAAACAATTAATACTCAGCAGGTAGAACATCCTATCTTGCAATGCCAGAGATCTTTAACATTCTCCTCTAAAGTATATGTTCAGGAGGAGAGGATAGTTCCATCTTCACACTATCCAGATCTCGACTTAATGTATACCACTGCTTATTTTTCCAATTAATCTCTATTGGAAGCACAGCTTGTGACACTAAACCCAGATATAGAAATTATAAAGATTTTTTACTGTACTGTTTTGCCATCTGCAGATATCAACTGAATATAAAAATGAGTAGGTGTTTATTTTTTTTATATTTCATCTTATATCAACAATTAATTTTCATTGATAAGAAAACCAGTCTTAGACCTTACTGCACACAAGAGAAACTTGGCTTTCTGTACCTTTTAAGATTAAAAAACTTAACAACAAAAAACAGTTTTCACTTTGATATATACCAGATCCACAATGTCATCAAATGATGAAATTAACAGAGCATCTGCCCATTCTTTCAAATGAATGAAAATGTCTTTCTTGTTGCCCACCATGGGATCAAAGAAGACCGATTGCTTCTTGTAAATACAGCTTTTTATTCTCTGCTTAAAATGAATAATGGATAAAATTGATATACATGTATACCTCCTTTGAACCATATGGGAAAAAAATGTACTGCACTATCACAGCCTTCTCTTTCTCTTTTAGAATCATTTTATATCCACATTTCTCACCTTAAAACCAGTGTTTTATCCAAACCATGCATTCAATCCTGGAATTTGTTTGGACATAGACGTAATGACTATAGTGCTGTTCTCTGCCAGGATTTTTCTTGGAGTGAATCTGTGCAAAATCATACAAGGGCTTGAAGCTATGTAATGGTGTTAAAATGTTGCATCTTGGTAGACAGATGTCAGAAGTCCTGCCTTCCAAGAACGTGTTTAGGTTTTATTTATTTCTGCTGAGAAGACATACAGTATGTCTTTTTTTTTTTCACTGCACAATTAAGTCTTATCTTAAATGAAACTTGCCATAGCTCAAACTGATATAGTTTATGGCTTATTGAAAAAATGCCACTGTACTGTATAGAACCATATGGTGCCTTGTGAGTCTATTGACACTTTGTATGTGTTACCAGGATTGATCCTTTCTGTTAATGTGCTTGGGTTTATTTTCTTGTCTTATGATTCTATGAGGAATTTAATAAGAGACAAAGAATCACCTGTACCTTTCAAGACAGTATCAGCAGAGAGCTTTAATAAATTTTTTTTTTTTTACAAAGGGGAATACCCCTGGTCTGGCTAAAGGCAGCAATCTTGAGATAAAACTAGATGCAAGTTTATCTAGGAAAATCAAGCTTTTACTCACTCACCTTGTTGAAGAATACTTTTCACAGACATGATACTGGTCTGCTTCCAAATAATTCAATTTTTAAAATGTAATTTGAATTTTCAAAGTAATTCCCTAACAGAAGAATTAGTGTTTTGTTTGATTAATATTGTTTACATTCACTTGAACTGGTAATGCAGATGGTTTAATCTGATACTGTCGGAAAGAAATACAAAATTGAACCATAAGCTTATCCATTTCCAGGTACCAGAAGCAAGAGAAGACATTTTTCAATCAGTGTGCACTGTTAAGATATTAATGAAGTGAAGCAAAGTGGCTGGTGTGTTACTTAAACCACTGTAGCAACAAGTGGAGTATTATAACAGTTTATTGTCTGGAAGTCTGCTACTTGCTCTATAAATAATCTGTTGAATCTTACTAGACAGGAAATCTGACATCAATTTGCTTGTCTTTTCCATGATGAACATAGATGTTGAGTTCCTGGAAAAGGCACAGCAAGAGAACATGTATTAATGACCTGCAGCTCTCAATTAGTCACGTTCACCTTTTGTTACCATTTACTTCCAAAACTGTATTGAGAAAAAGAGTCTACAGCCCCAGACAATGACAGACAACTGCTAAGCAAGGATGCATACTGTACATTAGCACTTGGTCAATGCATCAAAACCCAAGTAAAAACAAATGTTTCCAATGGTTACATAAAAATATTAACTAGTATCTTGTGTTGTATATGTACTGTATATAAGAACGCACAAATGAGTCAATAAACAAATAAAACCATAAAGACAGGAATAGTATATGGCAACAGGAACATTATTAATAGACCCCCATCGCCCATGCGCACACACATTCTTAAAACAAATAACATCTCAGTTCTATTTAGTAGATTTGGAAACATCTAACCTGAATAGCATGCTTTTATGGATATAGTTCAGAAGAATAATGGTCCAATTTTCTTAATATACTGTATGATGTTTGCTACCTTGTAATATTACTGGTTTTCCCAATGAATGCATAAATATCCGGACTACAGTTCTTTTATATTTATGATCTTAATTATTCTGTACTCTGATACATTTTTCACCATTTACTTTGCAATCTATTTTATATAACTTCTACAAATCTGTAATAATGCAGGAATCTTATAATTCTTCAAAGTAAAGTAATTCAGCTTCTTTCATCACAATCAATGCCTATTTCTGTGAAAAACACAGAACAGTTGTTGTCAGGGTAAAAAAATAACTTTATTCTGTAAACTGTAGAACTACTACAGAGACCACAAGTGTCATGATAGAAAGACACTATCATCAGACCTGTCATCTTTAGGTTCATTAAAGCAATGTATGATTTTATTGAGGAAAATATAGATTTTATGATGAATGTAGAAAAATATTATCTTATAAATGCCATTACTTGTGACATCCAGTTATAACAAAAAACTAAAGAGCCCCTTTTGTTTTCTTAATCTGTATTTCTGAACTAAAACTTCTCTGTTCAAAGAAAGATTGGAAAATCAAATAGCACTAGCTACTGAACAGTCACACTTAATTTAGGAACAAGTAATAGGTTTATTCCATGCTGAAAAAAAGAAGAAAGAGAACACAACGTTTTGGCTGTGGAGCCTTCTTCAGGTGTGGCTTTCTAAAACAACAGAGGCTTTATACTGTTATCTTTTGTTTGTATTTTTTAAATACATACTCTCTGCCCGGAGTATATTTGGTTTAGTACA